TATATATATATATATATATATATATATATATATTTAATACCTTGAATAAAAAGTCTTAAAATTTAATATATTTTGAGCATATTTTATATTATTATTTCGTAGAAGAGCCTACTCACAAGCTTGGCTCACTTATAATGGCCAAAAAATGATAAAATATGGCAATAGTGAGGGTATTTTAGGCAAAGAAAAAAAAAGATGTGTGGCTCCGTTATTCTGCGTCCGTAGGATTCATGATAAGGTGGTCAACGTCCCTTTACCGTTAGGGATACGTTAAATTGAGATCAAACTTTCCGTATACGTCACTTCATTAGGGGGTAAAAATTGGGCCTTTTAATGATGAATATCTTTTTATTTAATTAAAATGTATTTACAAGTTTAGTCACCAAAATGTGTTGAAGAGTGTGATTCTTCGTATTATGGTGGTTGATAGTGTAATCTTTCATCGTGAGGTTATGAGTTCGAGTCATGCATATTACTCTTTGGGCTCACGCTTTTCTAAGAGTGTAAATGAGTCGAGTCGAGTCGAGCTTGAATAACCCTCGGCTTGCACTTGAATTTGATTAATTTTATCAACTTCTAGTTTAAGCTCGAGCTTAAGTCTAGGAGTTCGAGTCTTTGAGTCGGCTTAGAGGCCTACTTGTTTATTATAAAAAAAGATAATATTAATTTAAATTAGTGTTATAATATAATCATGAATAGAATGAACAATAACGATAAAGGAAAACAGTCAGTTAATATAAAATGTAAAATATAATTTTTTTAATTTTTTTTTCAGACTTTAAGGATAAAATCTTCAAATTTTAAATTATTTTTTTTTACAAAGAGCCAACTCACGAGCTAACGTGTACAGTAGTGGCTAACTTGAGTTTAGCTTGTTAGTTCATTGAAGTTCAATTCATAAGCAACTTATCGACCCGAGCTTATTCGAGCTCACGAATCACCTTGACTCACATCTCTCTACCTTTTCCAAAAAAAAAAAAAAAAATTATTTGTATGTTGATTAAAAATGTAATGATTATGCACAAATCCCGATGCATATTAGATATAATTGTACTATTATTTGAGCTCTCATTTCAATAAACTTATTATCAAATTTGATATCTAAAAAAAAACTACCTCAAAGATATGAATGTTAGGTAATGTGGAGACCCGGTCCACCGAAATTTAATTAGCTTCCAAATTAAGAATCTCACATACCGCTCACCTACCACACCCACTTACCGCTCACCTACATCCCACCTACCGCTCTCCTAGTTTCTATAATAGCCACTTATGATTTGTCATAAGTCAAGCCACAAGCCAAGCCAGACCAAGTCGTCTTTTAAAAAAGAAAGAGAGGAAGAGATAAGAAAATAGAGATTTTCTTTTAAACGTCGAGGCGCTCAACGGTGTAATTCCTCGAAGAAATAAAATCTTCTGCAGCTCCGTAGACATAGGCAAATTTGTCAAACCACGTAAATCTATAGGTCGCTCTGGTCTTTTTCTGCGTGCAATTTTTCTTGTTTTATTTTTCGCTTTATTATTGTCGTTTTTTCATAACAATGAAAAGTGATTTAATTGGAGTTAAAATAAGCTTGAATCAAATAAAAATTATAATTAGAAGTTTCAAAGTATTAATTAGAAAATCAAATATCTCTAAATTTTGCACATAATTAAATCGAGCAACTTAAAGAGTGAAATCTAAAAGACATAATTTTGCTCAATTCTGATGTCATTAAGTTACTTATATGATAATAAGAGTGATATATGATCAAATGAATCAACATAGATTATTACTAAATTGCCCGTCCCAAGATTCTATTAATAGAGCCCTATTTTATAACACGATGAAAAAAAACTAAGAGTTGAATTCACGCTTGAGAAATGCTGGAAGCTCTTGATCACTAGCGATCGTCGCCAAGTATATTAGTAGCTTTTGTCGCACAACTACGATGAAAATATTATTATATTTTAATTATTAATTATAGGCATTTGTTATAAAATTTTTATAGTTTGATCAAAATCTATATTACTATATTCTCTGCTTAGGGTTTGTTTGGTGCAACTGCATCTTATTTAAAAGTAGTTGTGAAGCTGCTGAAAATAATCTTATGTTCAAAAAACAGCGGTGACTATTATAATTTTTTTTTTAAAAAAAGTCAGATCTTAGCTAGAAATGTGTCACCACACCTAGTAAGTATCGATGTGAAATTGCTGATTTCAAAAGCACTTTTTCGGAAAAAATCGTCGAAATGTACCTTATCCGAACAAACAAAGCTACATTGTGATGCGCGCCGCTACCCCAAACTGACCCTAATGTCTTATGAATTTTTTCCCTTCCTTATTTATCACCTAAAATCATGTTTTTTATCACATGTGTCTTGTTTGTTTAATCTTTATACAATATTAAGAAATTAGTTTTTCATAATACCGACATTTTTTTTTTGCATGCGATAGATGATATTTATTTTTAATTTTGAAATGCATCTTTTTTTAATTATCATTGTTATGTGGTTTAAAATGATATATATATATATATATATATATTTGTATTGTGTCAAATTAGAGCAATCATATTTCTTACCCTCTTTCAGGCATATATATAACCTTAATATATGACCCATATCACATCATATAAAATTATATCTTTATCAAATAATATGAATACTACGAAATTTCTGAAAATTATTAGAATTATTTATGGTGAAACTATGTGCGGAGAAATAAAAAGAGAGGTATTGTTTCCCATTTTATTTAAAAATATTAATTTAAAATATACTTAAAATATATTAAATTTAAAAATTTAAAAAAAAATATAAAAAAAAAGTTTTTTTTTTAAATATTAATTTTTGTTTTATCATTAATTTCTAAAAGTTATTTAACATGCATTTATATTATAACGGCTACCTAACACTTACAAAATTATTAAGTTTCCTCTTTGGAACTTTTGGGTTTTATGGGGCCCCACTTCTTATGTATATAAATATCTAACACATAATTTTTTATATTATATTAAAGTAGGGTGTTGGCCCTACAGGACGACTTGGTTATTACATAGGTCATGGTCATTGATAAGTCGTCATCAATATGAGATCGTGAGAGACTCATTCTCTGCTCGTATGGATGGACACGAGCTTTGAAGACATCGTGATGCACCTGTGAGATAATCGTTCTTTATGACACCTTTCATCAGTCGTTATACAACTGTAAGCAGGATTCCTTTAATCGATAGTTTTATTGGGCACATCCCAAAATATAATTAACCAAAGAGATACGTCTCTTTGAGGCTTGCTCTTGACCCCGGAAAAAACACACACACTTGAATCTCTAGCTGTAGATTACTCTCATAAGGTCTTCTTCGTCGATATGTTTCAAAGCATTTTCGATTCGATCTGGTTTGTACGTACGTTCTTGGGCTATCACGAGAAGTTTATTTTATAAAAATTCTCCATTATTTTCCATATTCTCCCTTCTCTAGATCATCTATATGATCCAGAAGAGACATTTACTCAGAAAAAATAAATTATAAGACGACTCGTTCAAAAATAAAAGAGAGAAAAAGAACAAAAACACATGTTTGTGTCAGATGATATCTATGTAAAAAAATTAAAAGTCAGATGTTAGATATGTAAATACATAGCAATCGAGTGCTATGATTGCAAATCTTACAAAAAAATATTAATATATCATCTCAAAATTTATCCCTACTTCAGCACGCAACTTAGTCATCGTATCACATTTCGATTCAAGCAAATGAGAGCTAATCAATGAGAGCCAAGTGACCTTATCATAGACATGCCCATTTATGAGATGTCCTTCTTTTTCAAATTACTTAATATTTAATATATTACTTGTAGATCAAGTGGGCTAATTTTAAATAATTAAATTCATAATACATTCAACCCTAAATAAAAATATAATTTATAACATGTGGGAATAATTTTAAGATGCTAAGGTAAATTTTAGTCGGTGCAAGCATGCCTTCACATGCCTTTCATTAATACTATTTTGATATATAGCCAAAAGGAAAATGAAGAGAGAGAGAGAGAGAGAGAGAGAGAGAGAGAGAGAGAGAGAGAGAGAGAGAGAGAGAGAGAGAGAGAGAGAGAGAGAGAGAGAGAGAGAGAGAGAGAGAGAGAGAGAGAGAGAGAGAGAGAGAGAGAGAGAGAGAGAGAGAGAGAGAGAGCAATCTAAGTATTATGGTCTTAAATTCCATAGCCCTTATCACATGTGGTGTTCCTTTATTTATAGAGCAATGGAATAATTGTGAAATGACAATTATATCTGATGCATGCAAAAAATTCATGGTGTTAGAGTAATGAATTATTATATTAACGTTACATGGAAATCCATCACACACTCAGATAGAAGTAAACAACTAGTAGCAACACCAAAAGTTCATGAGTGGAAAGCGCATAAAGAAAAAAAAATCACGAGACATAGTCAAGATGAATTGATCAACTATGTAATTTTGAGTATGTGAGTCAACTTTTTTCTTGAATCAGGGAAGATGGAGTTACAAAGATAATCATTGTAAATGTATAACAGTGGTTAGTCGATTGCTGCAATATTATGTTTGTAAAATAGTTCTCAGTGATATTAAGCTGTAACGGTCGCAATTGACTGCTATAAAGCAATAGTTTACAGTGAATGTTATAGACAATGGTCATAGCTTTGGCTTGTTCCGTATGGTTTAAAGTTGAATGTCATGACAGTAGTTGATTATGTAAACCACAAATTGTTATTTTAGGAGCGTTGGTTGGGCACATAGGCTGTGGTATAACTTTGTCCGAGATGTGGGCCATGTAGGTCATAGTTGGTCAAATGAGTCGTAAGGGTGATTTGTGATGTTGTATGTTAGCCATAAAGATCATAATCCAGAGCTGCACGGGTTGTGAACCACATAAGTCGTAGTTGATCACGTAGGCCCGTAGTGGTGAGCCTGACGATGTCTGGAGGTGACAAGGGCCGAAATCGAAAGCTGCACAAGTTATGAAGTACGTAGATCGTAGTTGGTCACGTAAGCTGTAGTGGTGAGATGTGACAATGTTTGTAGGTTGTGGTGGCCAAAGTTGAAAGCTGCATTAACCATTAACCGCGAGGACGTAGTTGAACACTTAGGTCATAGTGGCAAGCTGTGACGATGTTCGTAGACTGCGGAGGCCGAAGTTGGAAGCTACTTGAGTTATGAAGTACATAAATCATAGTTGTTCAAATAGGTCGTAGTGGAAAGCAATGACGGCGTTCGTAAGCTGCAAGGGTTGGAGTCGGGAGCACCAATAGCTATGAGCCACTTAGGACATAATTGGTTAGAGGCGGCAGTGGCCAGAAGCAACAGTGGTTGAAAGCAACAACAATAGAGGCTGGAAGAGGAGGCATGAGTGGTTGCCACAACGACCATAATAGGAGGTAGTGGCTTGAAGAGCCCGTAGCGACCAGAAGTGGTGGCAATCGAAAGAGACGATGGCGAAGGCAGCTTGAGAGGGCAGTGACAAAGACGGCGATAGAGGCCAGAGGTGACAACGATCATAAGAGGCAATTGTGAATGTGGCTTGAGGCTGCATTGACTAGCGTTGGTTGGAGGCAGTGACAACCGGAGTCGATGGAAGGCACAAACAGTGGTGACGACTGTCAGAAGAGAAGGTGGCTAAAGTTTGATTATTTCTTGCACAAATATTTGTTTCAAGATCCGTATCATACTCGAAATCCTTGCTAGATGTTGGAAATTTGTTGACGACGTATCAATATCCACGATACTTCTATAGTTCGCCGACCCCATTAGTCGGCATTTCATTATATTTCATGGAGCGTCGGTCGGGTCTTTAAGCATTAGTCAGTCTTGGTCCGATCCAAGTTGTCCTTCGGGCCGACTGGTTCCTAGGCGAACATCAGGTCGTCCAGTCGACAACTCATTCGATTTATTTTTTTCTTTATCATTCTCATTCCTATTAAATTTATAAAGTGTTTAAATAAATCTCAAATTTTCTAAATTGATGCCCAAATAGTCATTATTAAATTTATTTTATTTTTAAAAATAAATAACAGTTAATTGTTTGATATTTACTCCCAGAAATAAATATCTAGCGATAAATTATTAAAAATAACTTTTTACCGTCATTTTTATAAATAATTGAGTCGTGAAAAGATAATATATCTTTTTCAATAAGAAATTTAAATAAAATTATATACATACATCTTCATTGTTATCCGGAAAATTTGACCGCAAAAAAATTTTTTATGAATTAAATAATAATAATAAATATATAATCAAATAAAAACGCGACATCTGTTTATTTAAATTTAAAAACTTTACTTTAAAATTTATTATCATATCCTAAAATTAATTTATACCACACTGTCAGCCGAAAACACTGTAAGATGCACACAGAGTTGCGTACGTACGTACGTCTGTAACCTACAAATATGTTACAAAAAAGTTATTAGGGGTTATAACTGCGTTATATCACTGTAATTTCCGAAAAATTATTCTATACGGACGGACACAGCACGTAAGATGCATGCGGTGTCCGATCCTGACCGTAAATCAAGTGATCTACGGTCATGATGTATTTCAGTGGGCCCCACCTAATTTTTTTTCAAAAAAAAAAATTGAGATATATCATAATCGTAGATCATCTTAGGGAGGTTACAGGTATAATACACTTATAAGCTAAAGTGAGTGAAAAAAAAAATATTGAAAGAAAACGACAAGCAAGAAAGAGGACCGAGGAGCGCCATGTGGAATGTACTATGGGAGCACAACGCTACAAAATGGATCAGAGATGGAGATTTGGAGGACTCGCCATAGGGGAACTGTTTCTATTACCTCTAGCAGGGAGGAAAGTTTAGAGAGCTTCAGCTAACAGCTGAGTCTTCGATCAACTTGTTGATCTCTTCTTCTCGCCTCTTAATCGATAGAAATCGATAGAAATCTGTAGAAATCTCTCCGTATACGGTTGAATTTCTGCTTCGGGATCTTCTGTGTTTTTTTTTTTGGTGTTTGGAAGTGTGGGAGAAGGAGAAAATAGGTGGATTTGTTGGGGGAGTGTCGAGTTTTGATCTTCGTTATTGAAGATTCTTCGTAAGGATATTCGTTAAGAAAGAAGGTTGGTATACTTTTGTGTTTTTTTATTTTCTTAATCTGGGATTTGGTGTTTGAGCTGTGATTTAGCTGTCGAAGAGGGGTTTGGAGAAGTTGGGTTTTGCATTTTCTTGTTGTTAGTATTTTGAGATGAATGATTTCAATTTTTTTTTTCTGGTATGTAATGATTCTTCTGTTAAAGTTCATCTTTGCTTGCTCTTGTTGCTCCTTTTTGAATTACCTGTGTAGTTTAGATGCCTCTGGCCGTATCTGTGTTATAGATTTTAGGGTTTGGTTTTTGATAGGATGTAGAATCGTATTAGCTTTCTTCAAGTTCTTATGCATCATCTTCAAAGTCTTTATGTAATGAGTTATATTGTATCTGTATTTCTTACTTCGTTTAGAAAGGATCTTTCAGGTGCTGTCTGGCTACAGATAGGGTTTAATTCATGTAGGATTTAGTAAATCCAAATTCAGTAAATTTTGTAACTGTTGCATCATGAATTTTTATTTTTGGCATGGCAGATGTTAAATCGGATTAAAACGTAATAAACTGTTTGGTAAATGTTTTTAATCTCTTAAATTTAAATAAAATAGAAGAAGAGGAATAATGAGGGGAAGTAGTTTAGATCCTAATTCCCCAATTACTAAATCTGGGATTTAGCCTAAAATGGAGGAAAGCAAGATTAAAGGATTTAGAAGCTGTTCGGTAACAAATTTAGTAAATTCTGTAAATCCGGATTTACTAAATCCTGGTAGCATTTTAGTAAATCCAGGATTTAAGTCAAAACTAAGAGGAGATTGAGAAGAAACTGGATTTATTAAATTCAGGAATTAAAAGTTTTTATTTTTTCTATTTTGGTAAGATTTAAGTTGAATCTAACTTAATTAGTTTTATTGTATTCAAGTTTATTTTGCATAGTTTTGATTTGTTTATTTTCCTCTATTTCTTGAGATTTTTTGGTATTTGAGCTTAAACTTGTATAACCATAAAGTGATTATGTCCCTGGAAGTGTATTTATTTCAAACGTTGATTCTTTAAATATTTTTTTACAAAATTAAAATGGAAGTTTATATGCATAACACAATTCTCATCTATTTGCATATCTAAAAGTTAAATTTTTATTTCTACTTTTGTGACACTTTAGTGTCATAGACCTATGCATGAAAATGTGTATTTTGCTTTTAAAAAGTTATTCATAGTGGTATTTTTAAATGTTATCTTAAAGATTTGAGCATTATACATGTATATATGAAATTTTAGGGGTTAGATATATAAATTTGTAAGAACTATGTAGTAACTTATAATTAAAATATGAGAGCTTGAGTAAGTTAGCTATCTCATGGTTTGAAGGTCAGACATGCCCTTGGTTCTTGCTGTTTTAGATGTTTTTGAAGTAATTTATAATTAGATGTGGGCATTTTAGCATACCTTAAAACTTGAATGTATTAAATCATGAAATCTGATTTTAGCAGCCTAACTAGGACTACTGTTTATAAATCTATTTGATCTTGTTTAGAGACTGCTAAAATGCAATTAAATGCTTCAAATTGCAGATATTACTTTCCATAGTTAATGCACAGGATGAGCACCACAAAAGTTACCCGTCGAGTTGGTAAATATGAGCTCGGTCGAACAATCGGGGAAGGTGCATTTGCAAAAGTGAAATTTGCAAGAAACTCCGAAACTGGGGAACCTGTTGCTATAAAGATTCTGGATAAGGAGAAAATTTTGAAACACAAATTGGTTGAGCAGGTCTTTTTCAGTTTCTAAATTATCTACATGTTTTTTATGGATTTATCTTTTTTTTGTTCTTCTATGTGTTTTTAACTTTTGAGTATCAAGAGTACAGCTGCTTTCTTAGAATACTTGCTCTATTAGACTATGAACTAGTTATGCCATGGTGATTCGATTAAGATTGTACAATGTATAATGATTTTTTTATAGTTGTTTGCTTATTATAATTATAGAGAATTTATGGCACGTTTGGCTTCCTTTTGTTTCCTGTTTTTATTTTTAGTTCTTCTTTTGTTTTTGAAAATATGTTTGGTTATTATAATTTTTACATATTTTTATTTTTTATTTTTAGTAATAAATTAAGTTATTTTTAAAAACATTCATAATGCCTACAAGATTCTTTGAGTGTTTTAAAAACAAATATATCAATCAAACATACTTTAATTTCTCAAAACTTAAACAAGACAAAATAAAAAAAGAAAAAAAGAAAAACAAGAGATAAAAATGATCCCAAACGGCCCCTTAGCTGTTCTTAGTGATGGTGTAGAAAATCTCAAAGGATCACATTTTAGCGAGATTTTAATCGCTTGTCATACTTTTTTTTAGCCCTTTGACAATATTGGATTTTTATTTATAGAATAACTGAAAGTTATTGTCTGATTGAAGGTTTTAAGTCAAGGGAAAAAAAACTAAGGGGCCGTTTGGGGTCACTTTTGTTTTTTATTTTTATTTTATTTTGTTTATGTTAAGATTTGAAATAAAATTTGTTTGGTTGTTTTTAAAAACACTTGAAGCCTGAAAATATTGTTTTGATTGTCTTTAAAAACAAGTTGATTTATTTTTAAAACAAAAGATTAAAACATAAAAAACATGCTAAACAAACATTTTTTTTAAACAATAGTAAAAACCAGAACAAAAAATAAAAAAATAAAATTGATGTCAAACAAGCCCTAAGATTTTTCCCATTATAATGTAATTCAAATTCTTATTGCATTCTAAATCTATCTATTTGTCTAGTTCTTAAAAATGAAATCCTCTTTTGCATGGCTTATTTTTTATTTTGTATATATGGACTTAACTTTTGTGCAAACATTCTTATTTTTACATTTTTTCTACTAGAATTTATGTCTAAAGCACATTTTGTTCATTGTAGAAGAATGTTATTGCACAACCGTATTTCACGCTGATGCCGCTTGAATGAAAGATACACATCCTTTACGACAATTTAATTATAATTTTTTGGTTCTCTATGTATAATGTTCTATAATACTGCTCTAAAACGGAAACCTTTCTATGTGTGCTTGTTACTCTGGCACAAATGTTTTTCACCAGCACTGTATGTTCTTTGTTGACAGCCAATTTTTTGCATTTCTACTTTAATTTGCAGATTAAGCGTGAAATTGCGACTATGAAGTTAATTAAGCATCCAAATGTCGTCCGCCTCCACGAGGTAGTTTGTTAAGCCTTCCTTTGTGACATGATTGTTTTCTTGTTATTTATAACTTATGGTTTTACTATAACCTGGAGGTGCATTTACTTACAATACCACCTATCCTATGCATTTACATATGTAACACCAAACTTTTACCTTTTACATTTATAACACTCAAATCTTTCATATCACATATAAAATATCACTATTTTAACTTTTAAAAAGTTAAATACACCTTTTCGTGCATCGCTAAGATAGCATATATATAAAAATTGATATTTAGGTGTTATATATGTAAATATATAGGAATTGAGTGGTATATGTGTAATTCTTCCTGACCTCAAAGTAAGATTGGTGGTTCGATATCATCAATACGTATAATACAGCTATTGGAGATGGTTTTTAATCAGGGAGCTTTCATACTACTTTTAAATGCCGAGCTCCGATGATCCAGTGGGTGGTTTTGTAGGACATTGCTGGTCTTCCGCTCGATTCACAACTCCCTATGTTTTTTTTACTGATTGATTTTTGGGGCATTTACATACGGAGAATACAATTCTTATATATTTACTTCTCACATCTAAACTTTCATATTTACACGTGCACATACCACTCAAATCTTTAATATCACATCAAAAGTAGCACTATTACCACTTTTTAAAAGTGAAATACACATTTTCATGGATAAGTTTAAAGTACCAAAGTGCTATGTGTGTAAATATGAAAGTTTATAGGTGAGATTAAAAAATGTTTGCTGGGTATCTAAATTTCCCTGGATTATTTCTGTAATCTGTAACTTTAATTCTACTTTTACCTTCACTGGTGCATATATTGTGATGGTACTTCTCAGTGTCACAGATTTGTTCTGTGAACCAGATCAGGATCCAGTAGATCAAGGCCTCGCGGCACTGTTATTACCCTTGGGAAGAAGCAGCTTTGCCATGTAATAAAGTTTCTTAGTCACTGTGAATTCTTCTAGATCAATCAATTTATTTGGTTGTCATTTTACAAATAAACTTAAAGGAAATTTACATATATACCACCCAATTCCTATGTATTTGTGTATCTAACACCTAAACTTAATCTTTCACACACAAAAAATACCACCATTTTAACTTCTAAAAAGTAAAATGCACCTTTTCATGCATAGGTACGGTGGCATAGATATGTAAATACATGTTTGAACGTCTACATGGCTATGCTAATAGTTATCTCGGCATTTAAAGCAAAAGTAATTGACGAGGACTAAGTTTGTGTAGCGTGCTTTATGTGTAAGGAAAAAATTAGGTTCCACAACTTCACATTTCTGACTTTTATTTGACCTCTTATTCTCTATTATCTCGCTATGTTGAGAACTATGCCAATAATTTATTAACTTCGTTTCTGCTTATCATTAGTGTTATTCGGCTCTGAAAATTTGAGCATAAAAAAAAAATGGTTATTGTTCCATGGTGTTAAGGGTTTCAAAGTTGCTTCATTGTGATGTGCTTACTATATGGCTTTTTATGCTTTTAGAAATTTGTCATCCATATTTCTTCACTTTGTAGAAATTACTGAACAAGCAGCGGCGGATCAAATCGTGAACCCATGCAAATAATCATTTTATAGAAGGCTAGATTTGAACTAAATTTTTTCTTTGTTTGTTGTTTTGAAATTTTCTTTTTCTTTGTCTCAGGTAATGGGCAGCAAATCAAAGATCTTTATCGTTCTCGAATATGCTACTGGTGGAGAGCTCTTTGATAAAATTGTAAGATAATTTTGACCAGTTTAAGTACAATTATGCACAACTGATATTGTTAACTTGTTTATCAACTATTTCACTTTGTAAGTTGTTAATTAGAAATTTAGAATAGTTAAAATATTGCGCAAAATATTCTTATTACCAGTGTTATTTTTTTATTATACAGGTTAATCATGGACGAATGAAAGAAGATGAGGCACGCCGATATTTCCAGCAACTAATTAATGCTGTTGATTTTTGTCATAGCAGAGGTGTATACCATAGGGACTTGAAGGTGAAGTTTTTTATGAACACTTATGTTGTCTGATTTTGCTGTTAAGTGCCTGAAATTCTGCATTTTTACAGCCTGAAAATCTTCTACTAGATGCATGTGGAAACCTCAAAGTTTCTGATTTTGGTTTAAGTGCACTTTCTCAGCAAGTCAGGGTAATTCTTTGAATTACAAACACTTATTTTTTTAATTGCTTGTCTTTTGAGTAATCTCAACTCGTATGGTAAATTTTTGATTTTTTGTATAGGATGATGGCTTGCTTCATACCGCATGTGGAACTCCAAATTATGTTGCTCCTGAGGTGCTTATGATTATCTAACTGCTATTGTTTTTAATGATAATTTTCTAATAATGATTTTGGTTTATGATAAATATTCACATAGATTTCTTTTTTATCCGATACAGGTTCTCAATGATAGAGGCTATGATGGAGATTCTGCAGATTTGTGGTCTTGTGGTGTTATATTGTTTGTGTTACTTGCAGGATACTTACCTTTTGATGATGATAATATCATGAATCTGTACAAAAAGGTTTATTAAATTAAAGTTATTTATTTCTTTGTTGAACGCATTTTTGTTTATTATGTTCTGATATAATTAATTTGCACATGCAGATAGGAACTGGTGATTTCACTTTCCCTTCCTGGTTTTCTCATGGCACCAAACGTTTTATTTTGAGAATTCTCGATCCTAACCCTATGACGGTTCGTATTTTCTTCGCAAAAATTGCATTTTGCTCTTATGGAACTCAATTTATAGGAAGATGATCATCTATTGCTATATGATGTATCCCACATTTTATATAGATATGTTGTGTAGATGTTGATATGGTGGGAATGGATGGAATTTGTTAGAATCAAGAAATAGTTTGTTTATTACTAATATTTTCTATTATTAGCTATAATTATGCAAGACACTCTCTATCATTATGAATATTTGATGCTAGGGGATTCTATATTAATTTTCCTTTTATTTTTTTTGTTTTTATGCCAAATTAGCGTCTCCAATTTCTCATATCAAAGTTCTATTTATTTTACTTTTGCTTAAGTTTATGAGTGAGAGCTGATCACATTAATATTTCTGTACCAATATTTTTTGGGGCGTATACACACATAGCACACAATTCTTATGTATTTACATATCTCACACCTAAAGTTTCATATTTACTCACATAGCACTCAAAATTTTAATATCACATAAACGACAACACTATTATTATTTTTTAAAAGTGAAATACATATTTTCATGCGTAGGTTTAAAGCATCAAAGTGCTATGTATTTAAATGTGAAAGCTTAAACTTGAGGTATGTAGTACATAAGAATTGTTTACTCGGTATGTAAATTTCCATTATATTTTTCAATTATTCTATATGCGACTAAATTGTAAATTTCCCATGCCTTCCGGGTTGATGTGAGAAATCCTCATATTAGTTAGAACTTACCCTCAAATGGATGTTTTATCGATCATCATGCCCCAACAGCTTAATCTTGTGGATTGACTGTGTTACTTGCTCAAGAACTTATGGGAGCAACAAATTATATGAATCACTTGATTTCTGTTGAGCCATCGACTCTAATAGCAAATGTTAGGAAATATGAAGAACAAAGAGCATAGCTGTGCTAGACACAACAATAACCATTCATGTTTTCAACCCAAAAGTTTTAGTCTATGAATGGGGGCTAATCATTTAGTTTTTGGGGCATTTACGTACATACCACATATTTTTATGTATTTCATGTCTAACACCTAAACATTCATATTTACATAGATACCACTCAAATCTTTAACATCACATTAAAAATACCACCATCACTACATTTTCAGAAGTAGTATACACATTGACATTTATAGATTTATGACATCAATGCGTTATAAGTGTAAATATCTTACTTTGGGTTTTAGTATATGTAAGTACATAAGAATTATGTGGTATGTATGTAAATTTCCCTTAGGTTTTTTATGCCAACATATTCTTTAAATGTTTGATATGGACTTGTTAAACCCAAAGCTTCATGCTGCATTACTTCAATGAGCTATTGCTGACTTACGAATTCTATGGCTACTTACAGCGGATAACAATCCCCGGGATATTGAAGGATCAATGGTTTAGAAAAGGGTATAAACCCCCTATTTTTAATGAAAAGTATGAAACAAATTTGGATGATGTTGACGCTGCTTTCAATGATTCACAAGTGAGTTGAAGACCTTTACTTTCTTGGGAAATTTACATATGTAGCATACTAAATATCTCACACCTAAACTTTTATGTATATATACATAGCCCCTTGGTATTTTAAGCCTATGCATGAAAAGTTGTATTTCATTTTTAAAAAAGTGGTAATAGTGCCATTTTTGCTGTGATACTAAAGATTTGAGTGCTATGTTTGTAAATATGAAAAGTTAGGTGTGTGATATGTAAATACATAAGAATTGTGTGCTATGTATGTGAATGCCTCTACTTCCTTTTCTTCATGAATCTGTTCCTTATAATTTCACCTATAGAAGCATAAAATGTTTTAATGCTCCCCAGGAATCACATGTGGTGGAGAAACAAGAACAACCAGCAGCTCTGAATGCGTTTGAACTTATTGCTTTGTCGAAGGGTCTGAATCTTGAAAATTTATTTGATATTGAACAGGTAAAATTTTGGCATTTATTTTAAACAAATCAGAAATTTCCTGAACCGGCAGATGTGTCAAAATGGTTCCCTAACCTTTGCAATGGTTCATTTTAGTCCGGGTTTACAAAAGTATTAATTTAGTCTCAAGAGTTTTATTAATATGCTCGCAATGAGAAACATTTTTGCCCCTGTTAAAGAGTAGGGGTGCTAATTTAGCACTTTTGTAAACTCTGAGATTAAAATGACTCCATGTAAATATTCAGGGACTTGGGGGTTTATTTTGGCTTTTTATTTTAATTTACTTGCGATCAACAAGCTGAGTAAAATTGATGTTTGAATGAGAAACTTCTCACTGATGTCATTGCCCCATATTTAAGTCTGTTGCACTGAACTAATATCTTAATTTTTTCTCTCTGAAATATGTAATAACATATCTAAAATTATGCACAAAGCAGCAAAATTGAGGCTTTAATGAGTATTAAGTAAGTTTCCGACAATTAAGTATTATTATTTTGATCAAAGTCAGCTGAGAAAAGTAACAAACAATAACTCTTGCAATTGTTCTCTGTGGTCCTGTTTGCTATTTGACGAGTCTCATCTCAATAGTACTGTTATTTACTTACTGATTGTCAAAGAAAGCTCATTTTTTGTCTAATTTTTTGTACTCACTTTCTGCTATGGAAGATTTGTCTTCCCTTTCTTGTCCTTGTTGTGAGAATATATATATATATATATTTTCAACAAGAAAGGCCTGAGGCTATTATACGAGCCCCGGCCATCCCGATGCGCCTAACAATTCGAGTATCACACCCTCTACCGGGGGGAATCGAATCCCAGACTAGAGGGGACTTACAACTGACAAGCAGATGCCCGACCAACTGATCTGAGTACGCAGCGCGCGCGTGCACACACACACACACTCACATATATATATATGAAGGGGTGTTTCTCTAATAATATATTAAGAATGTGGGAGCATAAAAAGAGGCATATTAGAGAAAGGCAAAAGTAAAGAAATAAATGGGAGAATAATCTAGAATAAGAAAGATAATGAAGGGGTGTTTCTCTAATAATATATTATGTGAAAATAATATATCTTAATTTAAGAGTAAAGTGCCAAAATAGTCCCCGACTATTTACATGAGGGTGGCTATTTTAATCTCAGAGTTTATAGAAGTATCAAAATAATCCATAGATTCTTTAAATTGGGGTTGAAATAGTCTCTTTGGAGAACTATTAGAGCTCAATTTTAAAATATTTAGAGACTATTTTGACACTTTTATAAACTCCGGGATTAAAACGACCTCATGTAAATAGTCAGAGACTATTTTGTCACTTTACTCTTTAATTTAATGTTTTCTTTGATAAAACCCCCTCTTAAATTAGAATATTTATATCAATGAGCTCTAGTCTATTACAAAATTTTGAAAAGAGAGGATTTAAAGCATTAAAGATGTGAAGTTATGACCAGTGATGTTTTTTTAAAGCACTACAGCACAAACCAAGTGATAATTTACTTTATTTATATTTTGCTCTTTTGTGAAAAATAATGTTACTTACAATATATATTCTATCACGACTGTCTTAATGTATTGTATTGTCAGAATATATTGTCTTGATTTGGAGTTATGTAGTAATTTATCTAACATGGTCTTAAATCCATGCACTTCTTGGATAAAATGAGCTATGACTTCTATATTCTAATAGTATATTGCGAGGATTATTGTTTTCCCTATTATGGGTATAAATGTAAAAGGAAAAAATGGGCATAATAATCTAAATAAGAAGAATCTAAAGGGCTAATCCCCAACCATTTTTAATATATTATTTTCCATGAGAAATGCTTTGTCTTCGCTTGGCTAAATGTTTCTATTACTTTTCTTTTTTTGGCATGAAAGGAATTAAAGAGAGAAACTCGATTTACATCGACTTGCTCGGCGAAGGAACTCATCAGTAAGATCGAAGAAGCCGCAAAACCTCTTGGATTTGATATTCACAAGAACAATTACAAGGTCAGCTTTGCACGCCTATGATGAATGTCAATTTTAAAGAATTCAACTCAGAATGTGAATTCACAGAAAAAGTTCTTTAATTTTTGATTTTTTTCAACTCTGTAATAAGCTCTCTCTCTCTCACTCTCTGTGGTTTAGATGAGGCTTGAAAATATCAAAGCAGGAAGGAAGGGAAATCTCAATGTTGCAACAGAGGTTCTATTGAAAGATTTATTGTTTTTATTTATTTATTTTTTATAAGCTTTATGGTTTAATTACTTGGGCACATATGAAGTTTTCATTGTGAGCTAAAACTAAGTTTTTGATGTTTAGATATTTCAAATGGCTCCATCTCTGCATATGGTTGAGGTTCGAAAAGCTAAAGGAGACACATTGGAGTTTCAGAAGGTATTGAATTTATGATTGCGTTATTCTAAGCTCCCTTTGATTCACATTTTATAAAAAAATTGGTAAGGTATTATTTGATGTTAATCTATTCTCTCAAACAAATGTTTTATTAAATTTGTTTCTTGAGCTAGTGGGTGGGGTTTGATGCGGCGATTAATGGTCTTTTCGGGGGAAAATTTTTCTGTCTGGACTCCAGACGTAGCTCTCGTGCAGACCCCCAATAATATACCGCCATGTGTGCTATATCAGACCTACTTAAAAAAAATATTAAAGTGGAACCGTGGACTCCGCAATAACCCCGGAATAACTTATGAGGTGTTATTTCAGGGTTATTGAAGTGAAATATATGGTTTTCTCTTCAATAACTATGAAATAACTTTGGCGATGTTGCACAAGTGGTGACATATTATTAGAGTTCGCACGTAGAGCTACATCTGGAGTCTAGAGAGAAATTTTTTCCTTTTTGGGCAAACATTTTTCACAATTTTATAAGTTTTTGTAAGATTATGCATACCACTCAATTCTTACATATTTGCATTTCTAACTCCTAAACTTGGATATTTAAATTATACTACCTTACCTATGCACGAAAGATTTATTTCACTTTTTAGAAGCTAAAATAATGGTATTTTAATTGTAACTGCTGCACTACAAATTTTGTCATAGGAGAGCTATTTCTCACATCTTTTTTTCTTTTGAAAATCATCAAAATAAAAGATACCCAAAAGTTCCCATAGCAATGTATTTTTTCTGTACATCATTTTCTTGGAAGATTGACATGCATATCACTCATAACTCATGTATTTCCATATCAAACTCCTAAACTTCAACTTTTTACATACATATCATCATGTTTATGGAAATTTAAATTATGAAAAAAGTCACCTTGAATGTAATTATTATATATGGCTCTTGTAATGTATCAGGCCCATAGCTGTGTACTTCTTTGTACATCATTTTTTTTTTTGAAACATTTACATGCATAACACTCAAAACTTGATGTATTTACATTTCTAACACCATACCTATGCATGAAAATGTGCATTTCATTTTTTTAAAGTTAAAATTGTAAAAAAAAAACTATCTTAAATGTAATTATCATGTGTTACTGTGCAAAGTACAAAGCTCATAGCTGTGTATTTTATGTATACATATTTTTTTTGAAGATTTACATGCATCCCTTCCAAAACTCATGTATTTACTTATCTAACACCTGAATTCTAACTTTTACATGTCATCATACTTATGCCTGAAAATCTGCATTTCATTTCTTTTAAACTAAAATGGTGGTACTTTTGATGTGATGGCAAAAATTTTTGTGGTGTAAATGTAAATACATAGGAATTAGTTGGTATGTATATGCAAATGCGTCATTTTTAAAAGAAATATTACAACATGAAATTATTACTTTCCTCCCTTTACTTTTTTGTTGATCAAACGTTTGCTTTCTGACTTGCAGTTTTATAAAAAACTGTCAAACTCGTTGAAGGATGTGGTCTGGCATTCTGAAGATGATGCACAAGTTCATACAAGCAAGTTGTCAGATCAGAGGATGTAGAGTTCTGGTTTCAGATATATATATATATATATATGTAGCTATGTAGATATTTCAGCTGTTTAAGACAGTGAGCAGCATGTTTTGTACAGGCAACCATCATTTGTTCATTTAAATGAAAAAGCTTTACTTACCCTTAACGGCAGGGGAAGCGTGGGGATACTTCTCTTTTTCAAAGATTTACATACATAACACTAAATTTCTATGCATTTATAAGTGTGGGAAGGTTTACGATGATAGAGTAATGAATTATTATATTTGCTTTGCACAAAATCTAGTACACATTTAGGTAACAAAAGAAGCAAACGTGAACAACCATGGAAAGTGGAAAAAATTATTGGGTATAACCCAGTTAAAATAATCCACTATGAATAATAAGTACATAGATTTACTCTTCCCTTGATTTAGAGAAGAAAGAGTTATAAAGTTGATCGTTGTAAATATAAAATAGTAGTTTATTGATAATAGTTGTAGTCATCAATTTGTATTCTAGTTGTAATGAATGCAGTTCTCGGTGATAGTATGTTGCAAGGGTCGTAGTTGATTTGTAGTGGTCATACTCTGATGTAAATGGTATAGATGGTGATTCTAGCACCAGCTTGTCGTATAGGTCGTAATTGAAAAGCTATGGTAGAAGTTAGTCGTGTGGGCCACAAATGGTTGCTTCAGGGACATTAGTTGATTACGTAAGTCGTAGTAGGAAGTTGTAAGAGTTGTGAGCCACGTAGGCCCTAGTTGGTCACATATGCCGTAATGGTGAGTTGTGATGATGTTCTTAGGCTGTAAGGTTGGAGTTGAGAGCTGCATGATTTATGGACCATATAGGTTGTAGATGGTCACTTGGGTCAAAGTGGTGAGTTGTGATGAAGTTTGTAGGCCGCAAGGGCTAGAGTCAAGAATCACACAAGTTGTGCACCACATAGACAATAGTTAGTTATGCAGGCCTTAATGGCGAGATATGATAGCTTTTGTAGGTCATAAAGGCTAGATTCGAGATTTGCACAAGTTATGGATCATGTAGGTCGAAGTTGGTCACGTACGCCGTAGTGGTGAGCTTTGATGACATTTGTAGACCGCAGAGGCCGAAGTCGGGAGTTGCACAATCTATGGACCAAGTAGGTTGTAGTGGTGAATTGTGATAACGTATGTAGACCACAAAGGCTAGACTAGGAAGCTACACATGATATGGACCATGTAGGACATAGTTGATCGTGTATGTCGTAATGGTGAGATGTGATGACGTATGTATACTGTAGAGGCGGGAGTCGAGAGCTGCATGAGCTGCGGATCATGTAGACCATAGTTGATCATATAGGCTGTAATGGTGGTCTGCAATGAAAAGTTTTAGGAGTCTGAAGAAATCACAATCTTCGAGGTGCATTGTTACACCTTCTACGGGAGGCATCATTGCACTATATGTTTTGTGCATTGTTTTGAAAGATGTCTTGTTATTCTGTGATGTACAATGAGATTTCACAACATGTCGTGATTTGATAAGAGGTTTCATGGCAACAAGTTAGGGGAGGCATGATGATGGTCGATGGTGGTCAGCGAGCGGTAGTCGACAATGATCAACAACTGCAGGAGTGAGAGGTATTGTCAAATCAGCGATGGAGAAGTAATGCAAGACTTCAATTTCTGCAAGCTTAGTTTTCTTCTGGGACAAGGTCTCTTCGGACTCTCAATAAGGGGTAATGCAAGACTTCAACTCCTCCAATCTTAGTCTTTTTCTGGGTAAAGGTCTCTCCTGACTCTTAAGATGGGGTAGAGTTTTATTTATAGGATTTCAGAGAGACATCTCTGCAGATAAAGAAAAAATCTAGATCACTCCATTAGACGACCCAGAGAGATTCCTTTGATTGGACAACATTCTATGAGCATTTGAGTGTCTTAATGATATCAAAATTGAGTGATATTGGACTCACTAGATTCGTCCCGCCAAGATGCCTGATTTGACCACGCTTATTAGATTTGTAATCTGTTTGACTTTTCAATTATGCAATGAAAATTTTCAAAAATAATTTAACGACTTGTTCAAATTAATCCTAATTTGGATTTCCTTTTACTCTTGTAGTTTTTTTTTTCTTCCTTTCATCTAAGATTTTTAGATGACATACTTTTTAAGATTTTAATTTCTACGAAAAGAATTTATATATTTTAAGACATGTCTTTTAAGATTTTTTTTTTTTTATGGTAGCAAGTTGACCCTTTGAGAAAACATATATTATCTATGCCTTTTGCATTTTGAGATTCTTAGCTTATTTATATCTTCTATGAATTTTAGCTTTCATAGTTTCTTAAAAAGTTTCTATCCCTGGAGATTCATATCTTTTGAAAGTTTATGAAGACTCTTACATTTTAAATCTACAACTAACTTAAAGAGATAGAACTACAAACTAATTTTTTCTAAAAATCCTTATAAGATGAATAGCTCTTTTTTTTCAATGATAGGATCATCATGTGGGATTTAATGGAAATATATAATAGTCATGGCAAGCCATCTAATGACATTATGAGAGGTGTTAAAAGATGTTGTTGTTTAAGCATTCAAAGCTAGCATAATATTTTGGTTTGTCTTGTAGCATAGAAAGGATGGGTTAAACTAGTAGTATTTAAGAGATTTGATAAGATTATGGTGGAAGATTACCTTGGCATAATAATCAGGGGAACTTGGGTGGCATTAAATTGATAAATGCTTGGCATGGTGTTGATTTTATGGTAAAGAAATTCTATTGTATTGTAATGGTGCTCTATATTAACTAAGCCTCTAGTAAGAGTTGAAGAATTTGAGTATCAACTTAATGCTATTTTATCCTATTGATATGATCCCTCAATGTGGGGCTTAAATATCCTTCATCACATGAATTATACTATGTCGATTAAGAGACTGGGTTTTGGTCATGAAAAAACAACTCATAAAGTATCAAAATTATTTCCAATAGATGACACCATATATTTTATATTGGAATATTCATGTTGTATGGGAAAGATAAATGTCTTTTATGAAACTCAAGCATAGATAAAAAAAATCACGATGCTACCTTAATTGAAATGATCCACTATATATATGTGAAGTTTGAAATATTTATTCTTCCTTGCTATTTGAGAAGACATTATTATAAAATTAGAAGTGGTTACCTTATTTTATGTGATTGGAATAGAAATTATAGATGAAGTAGTGGGGGTAATGATATCAATTATGTGGTAGAGCTTGGGCGATGATGGTGGGGAGATTACTATTGTGATGCAAGTAGTTAGAAGATGGTGGTCAAGTAATGACAGCTAGAGGGCCAGATGGCAGTGATTAAAGGTTGATATTGTCTATCAATGTTAATCATCAAGCATAAACCAAAATACTTTTCTATCTTAAAGTTCTCTCAAATTTTTAATTCAAATCTCCTTATAGGAAGAATGATGATTCATTTATATTATTTGATAGGCACATTTTAGTTAGTTTGTCTTAAGTCCTAAAATACTCAATCAGATAGCGCATGTTGATTTATTTAATCATAAATCATTATTCAGCATTTAAGTATTTTAATAACATTAAAATTGAGTGAATTTTGGATCATTGGATTTCTCTCAATCTAATGCTCATTTTGATTGTGAATAAGTAAAATTCAAACATTATGTGATCCTTCAATTAATATTTCAAAATTTAAAACAATTCTGAAGGATTGATTAGGGGTCTTTGATCCCATATCAAATTACTTTTATTGCATTGATTTTGTATTATTGATACTTTTATTTTGAATATGAGTTTGTTGCAATGAGAATCTACTAAAATCCAAATATGAATGATAGCGAGTTCGATATCACAAGTTTGCAACCAAAGATTGGACGAAGATTTGTTTTTGATCGAATATTTTATTTTGGTGGGGTATGGACCTCTATATCGACTGCTATTTTTTAAGCATTTGGGTGCCTTGAGAAATTTCTTATTGGGCGAGATTGAGTTCTTTGGATTCATCTCCTTACGATGCGAAAATTTTTAAAAATTAATATTATTATACTCCTTATAATTGGAATTTAAATAATGTTGACTATCATCCCTTGAATTTAGTAGAAAATGCAATATATTTTAAAGAGATTTGCAATGAGAGCACTTGTTGCTTTCATATTTACATATCTACTATCTAAAATTTATTATTTTCGCCTTTTACGTATAAGTTTATATAGCATAATAACCAAATTATGTTGTTACCTTATTTAGCTGCATGCATGAACCCTAGCATACCTGGTACGGTGACAACTAGGGTGTAATTGAGCCGAACACTAGCGAGTCCAGGCTGGAGGTGCATACTAGATGGTCCAGACGAATGTCCTAGGCTACAAGAAACTGTAAACAATCTTGTAGCACTCAAGCGGACATCAACATATATGACATCTAAAAGTGATTCCAACAATTGAGGCAGCTAAAGATTTCAAATCGATTTCGGAAGTAAGGGTTGGGTTTGATCTAATCCCAAACTCCTTGGACATGACTAACAGCGTTTCTCGCTACCTTATGCAGACAGCTATTTGGGTCAAATTCAAGTTAACCTTGGGTTAATGCCAAGTTGTTGGGTCAAATTTGAGTCAAAATGGGTCAACCAAAATCATATCCAAAATATAAAATATATTAGGATTTTTAATGATGCCCCGACCTAAGAAACAATCGTACAACCTGAAATCAAAGAATTCGAGTCAGTTTCAAGTTGAACTGATGAGTTGGGTCAATCATATGATATAAACATGAATAGAATCTTTTATTATCATATAATTTGTGAGGTGATGAATTCAATACAATTAAATACAAATTTCAACTTACTCTACTTATTGCATGAAAAACATTTATAGAGTTCATTTTTCTCTAATAAAAAGGGTAGAATAATAATACCTTATGACCAGTTCAAACTTTGGGGGCACAATCGACGACACAGAATGATCCACGTGTCCACTCTTTTGACTTTATGAGTCAACTTTGACTGGGTCAACCGATTCAACTACTCGTTTTGTGACATCGCTTAAACGTAAATCTCCTTCGCGAGACACCGGAAATCAATTCCCATTATAAGGCCAAAGCCTGGCTGCGCTGGTCCCTCACGCTTCTCCCCTCGGCCATTGCTCCACTTTTCTTCTTCTTTCTCGGAGCTGTACTGGATCAAACTGCTCGAAACCCTAGCCCTAATCGAAGGTAGAATCAATTTCTGGTCCTTGGGGGATTGATGGCTGTAACAAACGTGGTGGTGCCCCGAGTGTTAGCGCTGGCTGCGGTGATACTGACGCTGCTCTCTCCATCGACTTCATCCAACTCCGAGGGCGACGCGCTTTATGCGCTAAGGAGGAGCCTCAATGATCCAGATAACGTGCTCAAGAGCTGGGATCCGACGCTTGTCAATCCATGCACTTGGTTTCACATCACATGTAATCAGGACAATCGGGTCACGAGAGTGTATGTTTGCTCTTCCTTTAGGTCCTCTTTAAATTTTCGGTGGAATTATTCATCGGTTCAATCTATTATTTGATATTTTTTTTTATGTTTTAGTTATATGCTCATTGCTTATGGCAAAGGATAAGATCCTTACACTTCGTCTGCATCTGCGCTGGTTTATATTTCTGTTGTATTTGTTGTTGTTTTCACTGAGTGACAAGCTTTGGTCTGGCTAAACTTTTGTGGTTAATAGATATTTTGTTTGTGGTTTTGATCGATTCATTAGCTTTGACTAGGTAGAAATTATGCAGATCAAAGTTTATTTCCCTATGGTTTTATTATTATTCTGATGGTTTTTTTTCCTTCTAGTGGTTGAAAAGTAATAGAATCATCATACAATGCCCAATCCTTTTGAATAATCAAAGCATCACAACTGCTGGGGCTTATCCTGTATATTTGGGGTGTTTGATAATCAGATTGACTGATTTCGACTTTTTATTTTTGACCTTCCTAGCAAATACATATTAACCTAAGAGAGAAATAAGAGACATGAATTGAAGGCTAGAGAGAAGCTATTGAAAGCTTGATTAGATTAATGTCAGTGAGTACAAAAACCAATGTGGCCCAATTGTGTGAACTCATCCTCTAACCATATTTATGGATTTTTGTTAAGTTTTAACTCTATAGGAAATGCTATGCATAAGTAATGAAAATAAATTTACATAAGTAAATACACAGAACTGTGTTGTATGTATGTAAATGTACATAAATATCATTTGTAGGTCGTAGAGGCCAGAGTTAGGAGCTACACGAGCTGTGATATCGTACGTAAGTCGCTTATGCTAGAGTTGGGAGTTGTCTCAGTTGTTGGGAGCTGCGCGAGTTGTGAACTATGTAAGTTGTAGTTTGTTACATAAGTCGTAGTGGTGAGCTGTAATAATGTTTGTAGGCTTGATTTAGGGGCTGCATGGGCTGCAGGCCACATAAGCCTGATTTGGTTACTTAGGTCATAGTTGTAAGCCACAATAACGTTTGTAGACTATAGAGACCAAAGTTGAGGGCTCCACAAGTTGTGAATATTCGTAAGTCGTAGAAGCTGGAATTGAGAGTTGCATGAGTCGTTAGCCATTTGTGTTGTAGTTGGTAAAATGAATTATAATAGTGTTAGTTGGCCACCAAAGCAATAGTAAGGAGCCGTAGTTGTAGTGAACCACTTAGGTCGCACGTCGTAGTGGAGAGTTGTGAGGAGAGAACTTCAGGAGTTTGAAGTGAGTCACCGTATGCGGAGTGCTATGCTATGCTGCATCATCTTCGTGATGCATTATTGCTCCATTTTCAGGGTGCGTTGTTACATCATCTTTGGGGTGCATTATTACACTGTTTTTGATGTGTGTTGCTACGTCATGTTCATGAAGTCGTACTGCTTCGTCAGGAGCTTTGCTGTTTTTTAAAATGCTCTTGGATGCCAGAGCTCAAGCTTTGATTTCACAAGGGGCTTTGTCACGAGGAACAAGTGGCGGCAGATGACGGTCAACGACGGCTGGAGCGATGGTTGACGGTGTTTGGAGGTTGCAGGAGAGTGCAGTGTTTACTGGATCTTCAGTGCAGAACACGGGTGTTCGTCTCTTCTAAGCTCAGGTTTTCCTCTAGTTCATGGTTTAACCCTCAGTTCACCTTTCATAAAGGGAGTGTGACTTTATTTATAAAGTTCGAGAGAGGCCTCCCTGCAAATATAGATGGAATCTGTACCACTCTATCAGACGACTCAGAGAGGTTCCCTCAATCGGACGATAATTTGTGGACCTTTGAAAGCCTTAATGATGGTGAAAATTGACTTATTGGATTTGTCTCGTCGAGACGCTCAATCTGACCATAAGTTTGCCAAATTTGACATCCATTTGACCTTTCAATTGTGCACCGAAAAATTTCAAAAATAGTTTAATGACTCAATTCGGGCTTGATTTGACTTGGATTGGACCAAATTTAGTGTTGTTGGGTCCATCTCGTTGAGCCGGTTAGTTTAACTGTAAGTTTGTTGAAATCAGATTTCTTGATAATTTTAATCCAAGTTCGAACATTTCTTGCTAAAAAATTGCCTTAAATTTATGTCACGTCTTTAGATTCATGTCAGATTATGGAAATTTGTTGATGGCGTATCAAGCATTGTCCCAAACTTTTTTTTTCATATTCTAGAAACAAAACATGAGTAGATAATGCAAGAGAAGAAAGAGAATACATTAGCCTAAGTTAGCGTTAAAAGGGTTCAATCAATGATGCTAGTTTCTTCCATTTAATTTAGTGGTTTATCAAGCTATATTTTCATTATCGCTTTGTGCTAGTAGATGATGTATTTAATTTAAGTTACGTTTGTAATACATGCATTATTAGGTATCCATGGTCATTTTTTTGAATTTTTATTACATCAAGTGTATAGAAAAATGATACTTATTATTTCCCAAAATATCAAATGTACCATTGTTGCTATAATTCCCACCCTTTGTTTCTGTAGACTTGTTATAAGGATAACATTGTATTTCTTTCACAGTTACTGATGGAATGAATGGTTATTTAGCTTTTTTTTTTCCATTTGTTGAAGTAAAACTCCTAATTTGCGCTGCCTTTAAGATTAGATGGCCTATGTAGAGAGTAGAATAAGATCTTTGATGCATTGGGAGCTAAATCTTAGATATTGAAGTCATAAACGGCTAAAATTTTATTGTTCATCAATTTAAATGTACTTATTTGCTGATTTTTGTGAAATTGTTACCAATCGAATTGGCAGTCGCGAATGATTTGTTAATCCTTTATGTCATGCTGCAGGGACCTGGGAAATTCAAACCTATCCGGCCACCTTGTGCCTGATATTGCCAAACTTGAACATTTGCAGTACTTGTAAGTGCCATTTTTTTTTACTTCTCGTTTCCCACTTTGAGTATGTTCCAAGAATGCCAATCAAGGCTATCTTTCTATGTCAAAATTGCAATTGTGATCATTTATAAGAATCAATAAGGACATTTTTAAAAGCTGGGGAAGCCCTTGTATCTTTGATGGCCAAGTTTGTGCAAATCCAGGGGGAAATTAGAGATAATACACCCATATTCAAATATATTTTTAATTTGAAGCTCAAGCCTGTGGGTGAGAGCCAATTACTTGATGCGTCTTCTTCAACATATTTTTTAGCTATTTGATGTGGAATTAGCTAAGTAGTCTCCAATGTCCCTCGACAATCTCCCTCTCATCTGTAAGAGCATGCCACATTGGCCATTACTTAATGAAAGCTTTTCAACATCATCAAGCATTATGTCCTAGAGCTTACTCAACTGGCCAGATAGTGATGGTCTGGAAGTTATCAAATCTTGCATATTGCTCAACTTTGGTAGAGGTTAACCAAGGCTAATGGGAGTCAAAATTGCTTGACCACTCATATAACTAAGGGTCAAATTTTAAGGGATTTGTAAACTAAATGAGGATGAAAATTGGGCTTAGTGAAACCCATATTTGGCCTAAAATTTGTAAAACTATGATGAGGTCCAATTATTTAATATCTGTACATCAACATATTGAAGTAGTTTGATTTTGTGTTTACGTTTCTTCATACAAATTTTAATGATGCTATATATGTAAATCTAGCCAGGGAAATTGGGATTTGAAATTCAAAAACCATTAAATATGCTAAGATAGTTTTTTTCAATTGAAGTAAGCATGAAAATTAAATCTAAATGATAATTTAGTGATAAAAAATCGATAGAAAGTAGTAAGAAATTGAACATGGCAATATTAGCTAGCAATTGCTACTTAAATTGCGACGAACAGATTTCTAGCTGCGTTAAACTTGAACAAATGTTGGTGAATTACATATGAAAACTAATTTATCAAATTAAGAAATTTTGTTCTTATGCTGATACAATTAGTTTTTTTTTTTTTATTTTTTATTTTGAAACTAGATAGTTATACTAGTAGAATTAAACCTCTTACTTGTAAACACAATATTGAAAACTGCATGAAGATTTTTTTTTAATTAATCAAAACAAGTCAAATTACATGTTTAAAATATCATTTTAAAGACTCTTCATTTTTATGTTAGAACATATGTTTAGAAAAGATCTGGCGAATTTGAATCTAGATAATTTTAAAGTTTATAATGTAACATTATCCAAAAATCAGAAATTACAAAAACATCCACTTTAAATAATTTATGTGAATATCTCATGAATAAAAGCCCAAAATAATTTTGAGGTGCGACCCATAATTGAGATCAACATCCCCTGGAATCCATAACAAGAATGACGCAATTGCAAGGTTTAATGTTTGTTATAGAAATAAGTTGTAGACATACGAAAACCATAATGTTTGGAATATTAAAATTATAACAACAGATGAATTCTTAACACCGAAGTAGTCATTAAATATTGGCGAAAAATGAAATTAAATAAAAGAGCACTATTGTCATAGTGCTTAGATGTGACTTGACAACCACCTCATGTGTATAAGTAGTAAATTGTATGCCTTTAGTTTGTAGTTGAGAAGTTGAGAACATATGGGTATCATGAATCTGCAACCAATTGGAGAACATTTGGGAGGGTTTGTGCAGATAGTATGACTTTGGCATTAAAGAGGTCATTTTTGCGATTCAAGTTTTTGTTCTTTTTGTGACATTAAACCGCACTATCATTAGTCTAATAATTGTAAATATGCTAATTGAAGAAATAAAGCTTCCCAAAACCAATCATTTGTAAAATTGTAGTTTAGAAGAGCCTCCTTTTTTAGAATATAAGAAGAATTTGAGCATCTATCAAATGACTATTATTTTGTGAAATATAATTCTTATGATAACTTTGAGATGCGACATGTCACTATTATTTCTTATGCAATGGGAAAAGTTACGTTATGTTTTGAACAAGGTTGTGAAAATATGGCTGGGCATTGATTTGGAAGAAGAGACTCAAGACTGAATGATTCCGTTGGGGTTGAAATGAATATCATAATAAATATCAAAATTAAATATGATTTAAATGATATAATAATGATATTTTCATCAATTGAATATGCAATTTTTTATTTAGGATACATTGCTTTTGAATATTTTCTATATAATTTTAAATCAAAATTTTAGGATATATATATATATATATATATATATTGCTGATTTTTATTTAAAGCGAATGCTACAACTTTATTTTGCAGGGAACTGTACAAAAATAACATTGAAGGAACCATCCCTAGAGAGCTTGGCAACTTGAATAGCCTTATAAGCTTGGACCTGTACAACAACAACATCTCAGGGACTATTCCTCCGCAGTTGGGGAAACTAAAATCTCTAGTATTCTTGTGAGTAGAAAATTCATCCACACAAGATGCATTTTTTTCTAAATGAACTAAAACTTTGTGAAATTTACTTACGTAGCACACAATTATAATGTATTTACATCTCTCACATCTAAACTTTCATATTTACATACATTGTACTTTGGTGCTTCAAACTTATACTGGAAAATGCATATTTCACTTTTAAAAAGTGATAATAGTGCTTCATTTGATTAATATTAATGATTTGAGTGTTATTTGTGTAAATACATAAGACTTGTGCGTTTAAAAGAACTAAAACTTTTATTTAGTATTTGTAAGCTTCAGACAATTTTATTTGCACTTTTAAGCTGATATTTGAAGTGCGTTATTTTCTAGGCGGCTTAATGACAACAAGCTTAGCGGTAAAATCCCAAGAGAGCTAACTGGAATTTCTAGCCTCAAAGTCTTGTGAGTACTCCCTTTGAACATCAAATTTCATTAGATGTAATCATTATTCTGAGCTAGCAATAATAATATATTTATTTGCTGATTCTTACAGGGATGTCTCCAACAATGATCTTTGTGGCACCATTCCTACCATTGGACCTTTTGAACGCATCCCCATGAATAAGTACATCCCTTTGTCTTACTTTCCTAAGATTTACCCTTGTGTGTTGGTGTGTTAACGGGTCGAGTCAACTCATGAGCCGAGTTTGATGAGCTACGGAGCCAAACTCGAGCCACCACCAATTATTTAATTTGTTAGCTGGCTCATTTAAAAAATATTAATATAAATACTTCAAATATAACATAAATGTTTAGGTACAAGACTATTAAAATATTTTAAAAATTTTCTGCCTTTGTTATTTGATTTTAGTTGTAGGTTAGAGTTGTTAATTGTGTTCGAATAGGAAGAGAGTTGACCAAGTATTTTCCTATTTTAGTTGGATTACATTAGGGATCGGTTTTAAGCTCGTATCGTTTTGCTTTAGTTATGATGCTCTTATCGGACATTTATAGGAGGATGTATTTTGTTGCATGGTTTTCGCTGATGATATCATTCTTGTGGATAAGACTAGAGAAAAACGCAAGAAAAGCTTGAATTGTAAAGATCAACTTTTGAGTCTAATGACCTTCATTTGAATAGCTTTAAAATTGAATACATGGAATATAATTTTAGTAGTAGTATATTTAGTACGGAGTTGTGTTAATGGGTGATTTAGTTATTAAAAGTAGTGAACGTTTTAGATATCTTTGGTCTATTGTTCAAAGTGATAGTGACATATATGGGAATGTTATTAGTATAATTCAAGCTGAATGGTTAAAGGGGCCTATTGTGTGATCGAAAAGTACCACTTAGATTTAAAAAAAAAAAATTATACGATGGTGGTGACACCTGTAATGCTTTATGCTTTATGACACAGAATGTTGGCCTATAAAAGAGAAGCATAAAACTTGGTTATGTTGCTGAGATGAGAATGCTTAGGCGGATGACTGGCTTTTATACTAAGAGAAAAAATGAGAAACAAATATATCCGTGAAAGGGTTGGTTTAGTTCCAGTGGCAGATAAGATTAATGAGAGTTGTCTCAGATGACTTGGTCACAATAAATGTCGACTATGCAATGATCCAGCTAGGGGAGTAGATGTTCTCTATTCGATTTATGTTAAAAAGGTAGAGGTAGACCTAAAAAGACTTAAGATTTGAGGATGTTATGTAAAATATTAAATTAATTGAAAATATGACACTCAATAGGACGCAATGGAGAAAAAGGATTCATGCAGCCGATCAACTTAGTGGGATAAAGACTTGTTATTGTTGTTTTCTCTGCAAAATTCTCAAATTTCTTTTATTTCAATATTATTATTGTTTGAATAGAATGATCCCACTTCTTTTATTCCAACTGTCTAAGCAAGCTCAAGCTCATTGAACTCCATTAATCATTCAAGCATAAGCTCAATCTATTGATTCAAGTCAAGGTTTCTTAGTCAAATGACATAAGAACATTTTCTGGAATTATATCCAGTTTGATAAGTGTTTTTAGAGTGTTACCGACCTGTAACCTTTTAAAATGGCGCATGTACATACATTCCACCTAATTTCAATCTATTTACACACATCTAACACCTGAACTTTACTTTCTACATTAATACCAACCAAATATTTCATATCACATAAAAATTACCATCATTTCAACTCATACATAGATAATGTGGCATGGATGTAAATACAGAAGCTTTAATTATTAAACATTTAAATACATAGTAAATGAGTGATATGTTTGTAAATTTTCTTTGCCATGCAGTTTTGAGAACAATCCCCGTTTGGAAGGTCCGGAGTTGCTTGGGCTTGCATCCTACGACACGAACTGCTGAGCAGGTGATATTGCAATTTGCATAAAGGCCATCGTTAAACTAAGTATTTTGTTACCTGTCTACATAATATATTGTAAATGTTATTTTACATTTCATAAAACCTTGTAATGAATCTCTAAGCAATGCGTGCTCTGCTTCTACGGTGTATTTATGTAAATGATAAAATGGCTTGTTCTCAATCTTTATATTGTGCTTGGTCTGCTATTACTTGAAATAAAATAGATTGTTTTGCAAATGAATTTATTACACTGAAGGGTTATAAATATGACTATTTCTTACATGTCATTAATAGAATGTTAAATATAATACTTTGATGATAAAAATATTATATTTAGGGGGTTGGTTGTAATAAAAATATCACAGGGTAGATTTTATAAATAATAATATTTTGGATGCTACATGTTTGTAAGCATCTGAAAAAATGGTGGCATGACGATCCAAATTTCTCTTGATTTTAAATATTTTTTTTAATATATAAGTGTCTCATGATTTCATAATTAAATAATATTGAGATCATTGGATTTCTCTTGTCCAACTTGATTTGATTATAAGCATACCTAATTTTGAGATCATTTAGTTGGCGTGCAAAAATTTTTTGCAACACTTCGAGTGTTTGATCTTAAGCCTATTTGAACTTGGATTGCATTATTTTTTACATTATTGACTTCGTCAGACACTTAGGGTTTGTTTAGGACTAGATGTGAAGCGGTTGAATAATAATTTTATCATAAAAAAGTTGCATTGGTTATTACAATTTTTTTTAAGTCATGTTGCAGCTAGAAAGCTGTCACCGCACCTAGCCAAGAGTGGTGTGAAAACACATATTGTTAACGACAATTTTTTGAAAAAGCTGTCAAAATGTGATTTATCTAAATCGACAAAACTGTGGTACGATACCGCACACCACCCTCAAACGAACACTTAGCTTAACTAAAAGTTTGTCGAAATCAAGGAATAGATAAACTTAAATTTGAATTTGATTATTATTTATTTATTTATTTATTTATTGGCTCAAAATTGATTGAGGTTTGTGTCTCATGATACAAAATTCTTGATGATACATCAAGTATTTGTAAAAATATTTAAATTATTAAATTAATTTTAAAGTTAATGATAGGTTAAACCTGTTGATTGTATATTTAATTAAGCAAAGCGATGATGTGAACTAGTATTTCGCCCTTCTAAGGCTCCGCTTTTGCCCGCTGGCGAAATTCTTCGTGGATAAATTTACAATTATTACCTGCTGCGGTGTCGCGCTCTCTCGCTTTATAAATGCCCAATTCTCTACTAGTTCAGATCTGAGCGCGAGCAAAGGAGTGGAGATGGGGAACTCGAGCGGGAAGGAGGAGATCGAAAATGAGAGCGACGACTCGAATGAGAGATCAGACGGCGAACCGACTAGCCGGAGCGGGGGTGCACTCCGGTCACGCTCGCTGGAGTTGATCCGGGACTCACGGCGGGGTAACCCCGGTCAGGCCCGATCGCCAATGTTCTCTCCTCGCCAGGTATCGATCGTCTCCTGATTCGCTTTACGTGCCTCATTTTTATCTGTAGGATTGGATGATGTTTGGTGTCCGATTGAATGGGACTGAGTTTGTGTGAGTGTTTCTATTCTTATTCCCTGGGTTGAGTGGGATTTTGTTTTTGCTTCGATGACGATGGATGTCGAGGTGATCCGGACTGCGGTGATGGTTCGTGTTGGATGGTTCTTTTTTTATTTGGGTGAGTGAAGTTATTGGTGTGGGAAATTGAAAGCCATTGAAGCGTACATGAAGGTCTGAATAATGATTGATCATTTTGGGCGTGATCTAATTCTGTTCTATTGGTTTAGTAACCGCTTGTTGAGAGTGGATTCATTTTGGAGCTTACAGTTATACTCCTTTCGTCCGTGGTTATAAATTATAATTGAACGAGTTTTGAAGCTATTAATCGTTACACAAATTTCCAAGTGATGCGTAAATTTCATAATGGATTTTGGAGCATTTTGAGGTCGTAGTCTGAGGGAGGGATGATTTTTGGATCTGTGATTGATTTCTTATCAGTTCATTTCTTGGTGTATCTGCTTTGGATTCAATTATTAGAATTATTATTATTAACTTCTCAGCACTACGAGATTGTTTTTTATTTTTTATTTTTGATTGGATTAATTAAGTCAGAGACCGGCAGATTGTTTAATTCATCTTCGTTTTCGAGATTCGCTTATATAATGGATTAACTAGCTTTAATTATAAGTAGGTTCATTTCTATAGAGGAAGTGAGGCATAGTTTTAGGTTGATTGGCCCTTTTATCTTCTTAATTACCATTGTTGCAAGAAAAACTCATATTAATCAGTTATATTTTGTTTGGAAATGCTAGAATTTTGTTTACTTGTTCTTCGGGTTGGTCATCAATGACACATAGCATGACCATGACACTAGAAGGTGGCCGGCTTTATTGTTCTCCTTTAGTGGTAAGGGATTAGATGACTTTAAAGGTGACTATCAAATTCTAGCATATGACAATCACAAGCTCTCTCTTTTGGTGGCTGTCAAACATTGGCGAGCATTGATTCATTGTAGATATAAGTAGATATTGGTTAGCGTTTTTCTGGAAATTGCTGTTTCAAATGTTAGGTGACGTTAGTTTACAAACATCTACTTCGATATGGGAACACTATGTGGTCTTGTGGTTGCTCCAAAATTAATTAAAAATGTATAATTATTTATGTCCCTTGAGTGCTCCTAGTTTAAAAGTAATTAACAAATATTCAAATTTTCGGTCTATTAATTGAGTTTGAGAGGCTAATTTAATTCTTCTTTTGAATTATCTTGAAATATTGCTCATTCTTATCAACAGTGGCTTCTCCATATCACATCCTCAACCAATAAATAAATGATTGGGGATTTCACTTCTAATTTAGCTAATCGGGTACCCGCACAACCCGCTATAGAATTTGTTGATTACCTGGAGATCGACTGTTACCCGTGGTACAATAACAGTAAGATGTGGCTAATGATCGTAATGTATTAGATTGACGAATGAAATGTAACATTTCAAGAATGCCTTCAGTTACTTGAAGAAGACAAATTCAAAATTTGATGATCGGATCATTTAGAATAAGAGTTTCAATCCATTTCTTTATATCACATAAGGATCATAAAGAGGTGACAATGAATGATCTCAAATGATTAGTTTGTTTGATAAGAGGGAACTGACATTTTTCAATAATTTATTAATCATGTTCTTATTTTGAGAAGGTGTGAATGATGATCAATTTCAGAGTCATTGAATGATATTGGAGAGTTATCGACTTATTGTTATGTTCAATATTCCCTTGCTCAAGTGCGATCCAATGATGAAAATCAACTGCGATTTCATCATTTATAGAGGTCAAAATGACTTGAAAATCTTAACATATTAATTTATAGTGATGAGTCGTGTTGCACACAAACGAAAACACTTCATTATGCTCTCATCACATATCCATACATATAGATTAAGCGAGTATACCTCGAATACATCTAGAGTAAATCCCAAGATACACTCTAAGTGTAGGGTGAATACACCCATCCACACTTGTTCGTAGAGTTGACCTTAGTTGCTGGGTGCTAATAGGTGCACACAGGAGGCCTTTATATAAACTCGCTATTTTTTATTTTTTTTTGGCACTTTAGACATGATTTTTTCCCATCATAAAGCCTTGATATGCTTCTGCAAACAACTTTGTATCCAACAGTGTAAACTCAGATTTAAATTATTTTAACATCTCGTTGGACCTGACAAATTACATTGATCATAATTTTGTCGGAACTGAAATCCTGATAGCTTTATAAACATTTTATGAAGCTTTTCAATTTAATTTTGAGTTATTTTCTAAATTTATATCTGAAAAAAAAATATAAAATTTGTGCTCGATAAAATCAATTTTATACACAACATCAATTATGAATTTCATAATAAATTTGATCTTGCAACTAATATAAATTTATGTTAGACCCATATTTTAACGCATCCTAAGAAAATATTAGTAAGTATTAAATTGTATTAATAGTGAAATAAGAGTAGAAAGAGATGAAGTGGTGTTGTATATATATAAGATTATTGATCAGCATGTGAATTTCCCACAACTTTCGCACACATATGACCTGGCTTCTTCATCAGTACCCTTGAATTAATCACATCCCCACTACCCTTCCTTGCCACCTTTGTCAAACGAACCTTATCCGAAACGAGCACACAGACTCGCCGAGCGGAGCCCACAACTTTCGCACACAAAAGGCATACGACACAGCCTTCGCCTTCAGCATTTCGGCCACAGCACTGCAACCGTAGCAATCATACAGACTTGAGCCGCCGCGGCCGCAAAAACCGAATTTTACAAACCTTATCTCTAGCTTTCGTTGTCCGCCGTTCAGCTAAAAACCTGGCCTGAAAATATTTTGGTCGCGGTTACGTACACGTGTGGATTATTAATTAAATATCCCTTGCATAAACAAACTGTTGAATGAATTTACATACTTCGCACCCAATTCTTATATATTTATTTATCTCACACATAAATTTTTATTTCTACAGCTAAAGCACTTTTACTTTGTTAAGGAAAGGTGAATTTTTATAATTCACCTTTTCATACATTCCTAAAAGTGCTTAGATTGTAAATGTAAATTTCTTTTAAAAATAATGATTGAAGAAGGGTCTTATCCCTTTATACATAAAGTTTAAATGCTAGATATGTTGAAACAATCAAGAGTGAAAATGTTATAATTGGAAACAATCAAGTTAAAATTCTTATTGAAGATACTTGAGAACCTAGTCCTGTTTCAATGTTTGGTAGAGATATATATATATATATATATATATATATATATATATAAAGGAAATTGTATATTCATAATATATATTATTTATGAAAATCAAAATTTATAAATATTAAAAATTTACTCCCAAATAAAAATTTCTTTAAAATTTTTTTTTAAAAAAAAAACTTTAAAAAAATTGTAGCAATGTTAATAATTTTCTTTAGAAATGTAAAATTTATAAATAATCAACATAATTTATCTAATATTAAAAAAAAAAATAATTTAAATATTATTCTAAGTTAAATATTAAATTTAAAAAAAGTTTAATTAGAAAGTTTTTTTTTATATAGAAATTTGGATTTTTTTTTAAAAAAAATCTTAAATAAAGATTCTATATAAACTTAATGAAATTTAAATTATATTAAATTTACTTAGATTAATTTTTTTTTCCTTGAATAAAATGGAAATGATAAAAAACAATATCGTGAGCGTAAGGCCTGCCAAATGCAAGTCAATCAAACTTTGATTTTATTTTTGTGAGCCTGATTGCGATTAGCGGCGCACGTAGAAGCACTCCCCACTTTATTAATGATTGCTGATGAATCCCCACGAACTCGGTTGTGGTGAGGGTAGTGGGGTGTTTGGAAGGGGAGCGGAGGGGAGGGGGACTAATCTACTGCAGCTCGGAGCCCAATCTCGGTGGATTGTGCCAGCAAGAGTCACTCGATCACGTGTAGTACCCAATCGTAAATTTAAGTTGTCTGCAAAGAATATTGTCTATCACTCGTTCAAAACTACACTTCAGGGCCTCCATGTCGACCGTCTACGTGACCTACCGGAGGCAGACCAGCACATTGTAGCCTATGTCAGGTGCTCAGTGACCCTTGGAGGAATGAGCTTAATGGGAGACTAAACCCCTTTTAATTTTTTTAATATTTTTTTTTTATTAAATAATTTTTGATGAATTATCCCTCTACGGGGTTGTCTGGATGCATATAAGATTTACGTGAAATATGATTTAGTAAATTCTAAAAGTCTAGGTTTATCAAATCCAGATTTAGATAAGTTTGACGATGAAGAAAGCGATAAGATAATGTTTCTTTCTTTCCCATTAAATCCGTTAAATCCACCTCTCAATCCTATTTACTAAATCCAGAGTCCAGTCAAAAAACGGGGAGGAAAATGGGATTCAGCCGACCATCAGATTAGCTCCCTTATCTCTAGTGTTTTTCTGATTTTACATTAATACGTAATTTCCATTAATAAGGTGCTATCAAACATCCCCTCCTTGACCCCAAATTACTACGGCTAGGAGAGGAAAAAAAAAATACTAATCATACCAATTAAATTTATTGATTCTAATTAATTTATCTTTGGCTAATTATATTTATTAAATTTGCCTTAATACTCATTTTGTTGAACTAAATTAAAAAATAAGGTTGCAAACCAAACCATTGCTGTACGCCGTGAGGCCAAAACAGCAAGCAGATCAGGAAACTACAGCATGGTAGCCGCGTAATTAAGCTAAACAACTATGACAAGTATCATTCGCGCTCTTCTTGTGCCGTGCTCTCCGTTTCCCCGGCGGCGAAGTTGATCCACCGCCTAATTTACGCCTCTCTCCGGCGGTGAAGTTAACGCTTGCGAGCTCTCACCTCTTCCTCCAGAAACACGCAACTCCACTCCGAGCTTAGATCTGAGGACAAGCAAAGGACTTGGGGATGGGGAACGTTAGCGGGAAGGTAGACCTCGAGAATAGCGGCGACGACTTCACAGCGAGATCTTACAGCTATCCGAGTCACGGTAGCAGCAGCGCACGGCGTTCTCACTCGGTGGAACAGATGGGCGGAACCCCGCCGGAGAGCCCCGGTCGGTCCCGATCGCCTCTCATGTTTGCCCCACAGGTATCGATGCGCTGAGATGATGGAGTGCGTCTATTTCTATTTTCTGGTTTTGTTGGTGTGATTATTTGTTGTTTCATTGATGATGGAGGTTTGGGGAGATCGCGTCAACGAGGCTGAATTCGTTTTTGTTGCTTGCACTATCTTCTTCTTTGATTTCGGCGAGTGTAAAGTATCAGGTATCTATTTAAGACTTTGAAAGACATTTGGGTGTACAGGAAGTTTTGAGTGATCGTTTTGGGCGTCTGTACTTATATTCCTGGGTTTTATTGTGATTGATTGCTGGGGTTGATTCTTTATGGAGGTAATAGTTTTCACTCTTCGTCGGTGTTATAAGGTAAATTTGAGAATTTTAAATCCAGTAGGTTGTACAGAAAGTTCTTGAGTGGTGCGTGACCATAGAGGATTTTGGAAATTTTGAGATTGTTGGAGGGATGATTTGTGGATAGGCCACTTATTTCATCTCATTTTTTTTCTATGCAATTTCATCTTTGGTTTGTATATTATTTATTTCTTCTCTTATTGAGGGAGTTAAACTGATTGATTAGTTCAGCTTAAATCTTGAGGTATTCATGTCTGGTGCCCTTTTGTTATTAAATAGCGTGACTAGTAACCTCACTGTATTGGAGCCACAGCTTCAGCTGGTTAGCCATTTTTTTCCTCTTACCTTTTTGCAAGAAAAAAAATTATATTTTTCATTCCAATTATGTGCTGCATAATTAGAGTTAAAGTCATTTATTTCATACAACATGATCATGACTTGTTTGCAGTCCACAAATCACTCTTGCATTATTCAACCAAAAAATGAACTACGTGATATATCCATGAAGAACTAAACCATGACGCAATACCAATAAACCATTAAGGCCTAATTTGATTTAACTGCTATTATCACTCAAGCAGTCAATCCCAAGGATATCATCTGCTACCCTCTAGCTACCAAGAGTTTAAGACAAATCCACACAAAACTCACACCAATCGGACTGAATTATCTATACCCCATACTTTGCAGTGAGTAAATTAATAAGGCCAATGAAGCAGCCCATGAAATACAATCTGCACAAGTCCCTTATACACTCCTGTCCTTTATAGCTGCTCGAGATTGTGATCAAGCGTTGCTCTCCCCTTAACCTTTACAAGAGGTCACAGTCTTGACTTGCTTTCTACATATCTGGTCGCTCTTATGCTGTAACCTTTAGGCGAGGCAAAGGCCCATGATCACACATAGAATGCCAGATATGTGACAAACTTGGATGCTCTACAAAAAAAATGTCGGCACTGAATAAAACTAAACTATCACGGTCTTAGTGTCATCTCAATCCTTTTTGCAGCAATACCCGCATTGACCTAAACCTTAAAGCCGCCTCCCACCTCACTAAACCGACATAGCTAGCAAGTCCATAGGCTACAAAGGAGCACAACTGGTATTTCTCAGAACTGTTCATACTTTATCTTTCTCAATTACCGACCAAACCTCTTTTTTCTCAACGTTTTCAATTTTCAAATCGATATCACAATATTCTTTCTATCCATTATCTTACGGTTGAGAACTCGGTTGAGAACTCACTTCAGCTCTTCTGATGCTCATGGTTCTAAAATAAAGTATTGGATAACCAATGAAATAACTCTCACGGGAAAATGTCACAAAGGCGTAAATCCCGCTTTTTCTACTTCATAGTCTTCCTCATAGATCAACGCAATTGCTTTGCTTTCAACAGCCACACTTAGGACAGGGCATTGATGACTTGGCCATCCCAACCATGCTACTTTATACACTTTAGCAGAGCAACGTCCAACTATTTGTAATATTGATATTTCATGTACCTTTTGTCATTTAGCCGAGTCATAAGTTGCCCTTTACAATTTCTTCTTCAAACAAATTTACCCTCTCAAAATTACCTATTTGGATTTGTGGTGTTCTTCTTTGGATATTTCTATTTACACCTTTAAATAGTATGTCTTTTATTGCTAACTTCTCTTACTTTTGTTGGGTATTTTCAACAAAAATCACATAAAAAACTCCTTCCAAATTTATCCAATCCAAAACCATGGCAGGGTGACAACTCTACTTTCCTTTCAAAACACTTTGTTTTGATGATGGTGATGAATACAAATGCACCTCACTTTCTCCTTTAAAAGGTTCCATATGGTCTCAAATAATCCCCACATCAATGATTTACCACATTCTACCATCTACATAGCTTGAATTTCATTTTATCATAGTTAATCATTCCCTTCTCATCCATAATTTCCTAACACAATAATGTACATACTTATCCTTGTGTTTTATATACTTCTTACGTGAAATAATCCAGGGGGCCTGCGGCCACCTCCAATTTACTTCAGTCCCTCCAAAAATGCTTCGTGCAGAAGTGTTCCCTTATTGCAGTGTTTTGGGCTCCCTCCAAATAATTCTTCTACATGTGCAAAAGTGTTCCCATATTGCAGTTTTTTGGACATCCAAGCTCAACAAACATCTATAAAATCACCTCCTCTTTACAAAATTATTATCACTGAGCAATTGGATGAATTTTTAAACACTTTTTTTGGCTCCCTATAATCTCATACTGTTAGCGGGTTAACATATCCTTCGCAATCAATCAAGCTTGTTGGCATATGAAAAAACCACTCAACGCCTACATTGACAGCCTCAACCCTTGAATAGTTTCTATAGCAGAATCTGCTGCCAAGAGAACCGCAGGCCAACAAAATAGGAAATGGAAAACCTCAAAGAAAATGCAAACAAGAATATCGAGAACTTACGTGGTTTGGTCCGTAAGACCTACTTCCACGGGAGGGAATCAAGAAACAATTCACTAAGACAATCTTGAAGATTAGACCGCACAATTTCAAGGACGAATCAATCTCCTCTAGCTTTGTATTGATCTTGATCTCGATACAAGTTTTATTGGTTCCTCACCTTGCTCTCAGAATTTTTCTTCCACTTGACCTATATACATCATTACATGTATATAGACAATGACTCATACAAGATGACCGGTTAAACACTTGTCATAGCCAAATGATCGTTGTTCCCATTAGCTACAAAAAAACTCTTTATAAACTGTGGCGTCGTCTTAGTTCACGTAATTGAGAGTCATCATAACAATTACATTCAGGGTACTCTCAGTTCTGACCTTGCTATTCATCACTTGCATCTCGACCTGCAGGGTTATTTTGATTTAGACTTGCAGTGTTAATACTGATTAGAAGTCATCAAGTTATTGTGCCTTTCAAGTTCACGGACCAAGAAGCAATCCATCATAACCCGATCATCAACAGAAAATAAATATCAGTCCCAATCACCATCTTCACTGACGTGATCTACCTGTCATTCGTTACAAAAATTTTATATTTCATACCTCTATGCTAGCACTCACTAATAACCGTTTTTCATGCTTGAACAAAGTACATTAAAATAGATTGTCACTTCATTTGTGATTACATTAAGTCACAAGATTTATTAGTCCATTTGAAATATTCTTTGGCAATCTTTGCTCTGTACTGTTGTATAGGAAGATTTTCATACATACGACGCATTTCCTATGTATTTGAGTATCTTACCGATAAACATAATTTCTTACATACATACCATCTTATTTATGCTTGAAAAGTTGTATTCAATTTTAAAATGTTAAAATAGTGGTATTTTTGGTGTGATGTGAAATGTTTGAGTGGTTTAAATGTTAAAAAGCAAAATGTAGGTGTTAGATATGTAAATTCATACATATTGAGTGGTATGAATGTAAATGCCCCTATTGTATATTCTTCTTCAACTACGTCGATACTCATCTTCAAGACATTGATTCTTAAACTATTGTTTCAGGCTCCTGTAGCTCCCTTGCAGAGGCCTTCTGATATCCCTCCAGTTCACAGTCAATACTGGATGAATGATCCCTACATTGCTTCAGATACTCCCCGTGAAAAGGAAATTCCAGTTTTAATAACGTGGAACCATGGTGGAAACAGTGTTTTAGTGGAAGGTTCATGGGATAACTGGTCTTCTAGGTATAAAACCTTTTTTAATGAATTGAAATTTTTGAAACTGTTATAGGCTCATTATCATTTTTTTAAGGAGTGAAGTGTTTCGGACCATTTTTGTCTCAGAGTCTATAAAAGTATCAAATTAGTCTCCGGACTCCTTTAATATGGGCTGAAGTAATCCCCATGGAGGACTATATTAGCCCCCTTTAAAAGAGTCTAAAAACTATATTGACACTTTTATAGAGTGGGACTAAAATGACCCCCGCAAAGTCGGGGACCATTTTGACATTTCTCTCTTTAGTTAAGTTGCGTTTTATGTAGTGTTATTCCTCTTTCTAAGAACTAAAAATGATTTATGTAGTGTTATTCCTCTTTCTAAGAACTAAAAATGATGTCAAAACATATAAAACATAGTGTCTATGCAGGAAAACTCTCCAGAGGACAGGCAAGGATCATTCAATTTTGATAGTACTCCCATCTGGAGTCTACCAATATAGATTCATTGTAGATGGTCGCAGGCGACATGTTCCCGAGCTTCCTTTTGTTCCGAACGATATGAACAATTTCAATAATGTCATCGATGTCGATGTAAGGCTTTTTGTTTTTTGCAGCATAATAATTTTGCAAACCACCATGAATGAAGTATTTTTTAGAATTTTAGGGTGTGAACGATTTTGAGGTGCCATCATGTTGTTTAGGATAGTTGGATGGTTGGACATTTAAAAATAGGGTAATTGGAGCAGAGTTACATACATGCCGCACAAGTCTTATATGTTTACATATTTAACACCTAAACTTTCTTCTTTGCATTCATAACACTCAAATTATGTTTAACATGACATCAAAAATGCCACTCTTATAAACTCTATAAAAATGAAATACACCCTTTCATACACGTGTTTATGACACCGAAGTGTTGTAAATGTAAATATCAACCTTTAGGTGGTTGATATGAAAATACATAAGAATTATGCGGTCATCATTTTGGAAAACAGCACTAAACTAGCCGTTACCTAGCAAATCTTTATCTCCCTTTTAATTAAATCTTATCCTAGGTTTAAGCTTTATAATATGATTATAAAATTTAATAATTTTTATTATATACTACCCCTTTTATCTTGTAATCCAGCAGCACTATGAAAAAAATTTGATATGAAGGAAAAAAAAAACCTTTATGATATGTGATTTTGTTTCCTTTCAAATGTTGTTCAGATTGGTTTAAAAGTTTAGTTTTGTACATAGTTTATATTTTTAGGGCCATTTTCATACTTGTAACATAATTCTTATGTTATTAAATATCTAATTCTTAAACATTCGTACTTACAAATATACCGCTCAATTTTTTAGCATCATATGAAAAATATCATCACCACTAACTTTTTAAAAGTGAAGTACACATTTTATTGCATAAATTCATAATATCAATACTTTATGAGCGTAATTATCAAACTTTGTGTGCTAGATAAGTAAATACATAACTTTTTTATTAGTTTTTTTTTTTTTTTCATTTTCATTTTTTTCAATTATGGAACCTTTATTAGTTTTTTTTTTTTTTCATTTTTTTCAATTATGGAACCAGGACTATGTTCCTGACGATCTTCAGAGCGTCTCCGAATTTGAGCCCCCTCCTTCGCCAGACTCCAGCTATAGCCGACCATTTCCTACTGATGAGGACTTCGCAAAGGAACCACCAGCTGTACCCCCTCACCTCCATCTTACCGTTCTCGAAACTCACAAACCTGACGAAACCTTCATCAAGCCCCGACACGTCGTTCTGAACCACCTTTTCATCGAAAAAGGTTGGGCTTCTCAGTCTTTAATCCCCCTCGGCTACACCCACAGGTTTCAATCCAAATACGTCACCGTCGTCCTCTACAAATCCTCAAATAGATGATACCAACATCCTAAACCGGAAACCACATATATTTTGCTACAAAGCAAACTGATTCTGGACCTCAATTGAATATTTCTCATCACCCATCTTCTGCTGCTTTTAACAAATCCAATTTGAAGCAGATTTTGTGAGCTTGTGGTTCCCACACTATCCTAAGTGAAGGCGGCAGAAGGATCACCAGAGATAATTCAAGTTAGCTCTTACACTATTTTCTATTCTACTTCCTTTGTTTTCTGCCATTTTGAACTTATTTGGTTACCTTGAAAATTATAATCCAATACTCCAATATGGTAACCAATGCATGTTTTATAATTATCAATTTTTGACATTATTTGGTTTGAAATGTGTTATTTTTCAGTCTTGCAAAGCCTGGTTTTGCAGCTTTTTAGTGGTGTTTCAGCTCAATGTGAGCTCGGTGTCATTATTGTTCTTTCAATATGGCACTCTGCTTGTTAGGGTTTGTGGCTTCAATTTGATTGGATTTGGTGTAACTTATGAGAAAATTTTGGGGAGATATGTTTTGGCAGCACAGTGATTGGGCTGATAATAATATGTACAGTTGGAGTTTTGTGTTTATTCTGTGTCAACCATTGCTCTTCTTTTGTATATGTTTCTTCGATATAGCGAATTCTTCTTCTCTGCCTTGCAAATATGCGTGTTGCTTGATTTGTATTTGGTGGTTTATTCTTCCTTGTTATATTTCATAGTAGTGTCGAATAATGAATTCATATTTGATCTCGATGATGACAACCAAGATATATGATGTTATGTTGTTGGATTGCAACATCACATTTTTACATATGACAAGTCAAGATGTGGTTTGTGCTTTTGCACACGAAATCAAATATTACATTCTGTTTTGAGGGAGGAAAGTATTGATTTGTTGCCGTTAAAGCAGGAAAAGTTGCGCATGACAAATTCTCTTATTTCTACATTAAGGGATGACATGACGAGTTGGATATTAAGGAAGTCTTGACATTATTTTGTACTTATTTGAGCTATGATTGATTGTGACAGTTTTCTGTCTACTTTGTGTTTCAGATCATCACCACAGTTTTGTTTGGGGAATTGTTTTCTCAGTGCTTTCTAGAAATTTATGACGTTGGAAACCGCTTTTTTCAACCCAACCTATTAAAATTTTGTGGTCGTAAGAAAACCGATGTCTGATATTTTGAATATATATAATATAATTTTCACCGCAATTTTTTAATAAATTACTTTCTCCATCGCAGCTATGCAATCATCTTCTTTCAAAACTTAGATTCATGCATTCTCATCAATATTTTAAGACGGTGGAGATCGGTGATGGATGATGTAGATGGGACACCGCATGCAGGTGCCGAATAATTTTTCCGCATCTTGGGCCTGTGATTTTGAAATAAAAACATTTTGATTATGATATGTGTTATTTTTTAATAAATATTATTAATTTATCAGATATTTTGTCTGATTTTTTTTTTTTTTTTGTAGAAAGTTTACAAAATCAGACATAAAATATCTGATATTTTAGTAGAGATTATTTTTACATTTTTCTTTTTTTCTTACATTTTAAGATAAATTCATAAAATTTAAAGAAGTTTTATATTAAAAAAGGGGCATTTGCATGCATACCTCCTAATCCATGTTATTAAATATGTAAAATTTATAGTTTATATTTGGCATTTATACCACCTAAATTTTTAGGTGATAGATATGTAAACGATTTGAGAATCCATACAATCAAAGATAGACTTGTTGGTTGTAATTTATCAGGCCTATTGAGACTTGGTGTTGATGAGATATCACCGGCGGCTCATAAATGTGCATGAATATTAGATAGTGATGGGTTGGAGTTTGCTTTCTCCTGTCGTGGAGGCAACTTTTGAAGGAATGCTCATCGAAACTTCGTGGTGTAGCTTTATAACTTTAGCAGAGCTCAGCAAAGGGGAAAAAATTTGCGTGTGATAGACGTACGCAACGCTGCGTGCGATATTGTAGTTATATTCGTGGTATAATCCTTTGTAACCTCCCAGTAACCTTCTGTAACCTACCTGTAACCTAAAATAAGTTATGCGTTTCTGTTATCATATATCAAGAATTTAGTAATATGTTACAGAAGTTTACAGGGGGGTTACAAGGAGTTATACAGCGAATATAACCCTCTTGTATTCTCGGTATAACCTCAATATCATACACAGCGCTGCGTACGTCTATCGCACGCAAATTTTTTCCCGGCAAAGGACTTCAGTGAGTATTGGCGAGCTCAGTGCAGGAAAGGCTTAATGGATGTGGCTGGGCGAGTGCAAGTTGCTTTATCGATCAATTTGTTAGAAATTATAGAATTTAAAATTTAGAAACTTATTTTAAAATAAGCATGATATAAATTTTATTTTTATTTGAAAAAATATGTTTTTTTTTTTATTTTACATAATATTTCTCATGGCTATAACACATCAAACATCTGTTATAACGAATTTTTTGACAACTGAAAGTGGCTGTTCCCGAGGATCCTAGCTGCAGGCTTCTCCTCCGTCTGATCAAAAACCAACGGCCATCATCCGAGTCTCAATCACGATGCCGCCGAGTTTGAGCAACGGCTACGATTCATCCACGTATAAACTGCTGATGGCATATGTGAAGTGTTTTTCAGTATATGACCTCATTCTGAGGAGGGGCATTTACATACAGCCCACCAAATTTTTATGTATTTACATAAAGGACTTCTAAACCTATTTACATTTAAATCATTAAATTATGTTAGGGCTGTTAATTAACTAATGCACTTGACCAACAACTAGAACTCAGGCTCGTTCAAGATTCGACCATATTCGTTCAAATGAGTAAATAAACAAGCTTGAACAATTTTTAAAAGCTCGAAGCTTAAATGAATTGATCGAATTTATTCATTTATGTTCACGAACAAACTCGTTTTTTGTTCAATAAGTAACTTGTTAAATATCTGATATTATGCACGATGATAACTTGTTTCATATATGATATATTATTTAAATAAAATTTAATTAACTAGAATATTAAATTGTTCGTTCATAGCTCCATGATAGCTTGTAGGTTTAGGTTAAATCATGCTTAAACACCACACAAATTATTCTATTAAGCATATCCTAAGCATTTTTGTCATAAATAAATTAATTACAAATCAGGCCAAACATTGAAAAATTTAAACAAATCAAGTTTGAACAATATATGAAAACTCGACACATGCTTGACCAAATATGAACTATGATATGTCCAACTCAGGCTTGATTGCAGCCCTACATGTTACAATGGAAAAGTGGTATTTATGTAAAATTGTAAGTATGTATGTAAATCTTTCTTTTTATTATTTTCGGAGAAGAGCGCGCTCCGGCGCCTCTCTGAGTCTCCGACTGCCTCTCTCTCTCTCTACCAGAAGTGAGCGGTTTCTCACTCTACTCTGCATCTCCTACTCCGGCCACATATTCAGCAGTCTGCGGACGATCTCTGCCGTGTAGACATGGCCGAGGAGCTAACGGACGATCAGATCGCCGAGTTCAAGGAGGCTTTCAGCTTATTCGACAAAGATGGAGATGGTTAGATGATTCGTTTCGTCTCTTGTGATTTCCCCTGTTTCAAAAGGATGCCAGTGTTTTATTCTTCTTTCTGCGACGTTGATTGGATTTCCTATACATATGGGCGTTTCCAATGGGTGTTAGGGTTTCAGAAAGAGTTTAACATAGTTGTTAGAGAAGAATGATTGGCGTGCTTTCTTTCAATCGAAAAGTTTCGATGAAGTTGTATTTATATCAATGATTTGTTTTGGAAATATTATTTGTTCTATTTTTCGGATTAAATCGTAGAATACATATGCAACGACAAATTCATTTCCGATAGGTGTTAGATTTCTTCTCTTGGTTATTGCTAATTCTATATATCAAATTCCTTTGTAAACAACTATTCCAATTCACTGATTTCACAAATATTTTCCCCTAGACAATGTAGCTCTTGTTTTTATCAACAAATGCCTTGTTTTTGGTGCTGTAGGCCCTGAAATACTGAAATCATTTCAGATGTGGCATTCTTCTCCAAGTTCAGTAAACATATTAGCAGATCTGTAGATAGGGTCACTCGAAGATTGATTTGAATTTTGGCTTCGATCGGATCGAAGTAAACTTGACGAGCTTCGAGTCAAAATTTTGGATTGAATTTTTTTCGAGCTCGGCTCAAAATCGGATTGTTAGCAACATATCACTGTTAATTTAGCGAATTTAGCTCGAAGATTCAAAAACTTGATTCGAATTTAGGCTCGGTTCGAGATCGGGTCAAAATAAACGAGCTACAATCCAATATTTTGGATTAAATTTTTTTTCGAACCGATTTCAAGCTGACACCACAGCTCGGCTCAAAAGCGGATCGGTGATAGCCATATCTTTAGAACAAGGTGTGTTAGGAAGGCCATGTTTGTGCTTGGTGATTGATGATTTTCTGTATTTTTTACTGAATCTCTTTTTCCCATATCATCGCCGATTTATGTGGATGATCAGGCTGCATTACAACGAAAGAAATGGGCACTGTGATGCGTTCTCTCGGCCAAAATCCAACAGAAGCCGAGCTGCAGGACATGATTAACGAAGTCGATGCAGACGGAAACGGCACCATTGATTTCCCCGAATTCCTAAACCTCATGGCTCGAAAGATGAAGGACACCGACTCGGAGGAGGAGCTCAGGGAGGCCTTTCGCGTCTTCGATAAAGACCAGAATGGCTTCATCTCCGCCGCGGAGCTCCGGCACGTCATGACCAACCTCGGCGAGAAACTCACCGACGAGGAGGTCAACGAGATGATCCGGGAGGCCGATGTTGACGGCGACGGCCAGATCAACTACGACGAGTTTGTCAAGGTCATGATGGCGAAATGATCAATGTATGAATCTCTTAAAACTGATTTCTTTTCTGTGTGTTTGGTTTCAGCTTTTCTTTTTTTGTCTAACTTTTGCTCATGTATTGTTTGGCTTGCAATTTTCTTTTCTGATGTTTTTGTTTCTGTCTTCATATTATATATTTATATATATATATATATATGTATGTATATATAATGGTCAATTGATTCTTTATATGTAGTCAATTTAGTCATGGTCTTAAATTTAAGATTGAGCAAGGTCAACCTTTGAAGAGTATAAGATTCAACCAAATGTATCCTCTAACATAATCTCTAGGATTTATAAAGTCGTAGTTGTTCATGTTGACTCGGTCGCGACAAATGATTGTTGGCCCGCTCTCGCATAGTATTTTCGAGCTCATTCTTTGTGTTGTTGCATTGTTGGCATCATTTGAGCCCAAGGCCCCTACAATCATCACCTTTTTTTTAGGATTATTATCTCTTATTGACATCAACAAACTTGATGGTTTGTTTTGTGTACCATATATCTAAATAATATAGTTTAGTTTGAATGTACATCGAGGTCTCCCTCACATAAGGATAAAATTAGGGCGGTCAAAAAACGGCTTGTTGTTCATGAACGTCTCGTGTTCGGCTCGTTAAGAAACTCGTGTTCAATTCGTTCGTTAAGTTAACGAGCTGAACATTTTTTTGTGCTTAATATATAAACGAGTTGAACATGAATAAAGATTTGTTTGTTCGTGTTAGACTTTTCTGGGCTTGAAATACTACCCGAAATATATATTGATGAGTTGTATTTTTTAAAAAATTGATTCACTACAAAACTATAAAGATTTATAATTAATTAAAATTATTAATTAAAAAATAAAATAAATATATATTAAATTAGATTTAAATCATTTTAATATAAACAATAAGATTTAATTATTACCTCAATCCTTTACATCCTATGACTCTGTGATTAGGATTGTCAGTTCAACTCGTGTTCGGCTCATTAAACAAACAAGCCGAACACGAATACATTTTTTGTGCTTGAAATATAACTAAACCGAACATGAATAATAATATTTTTTAATGGGTTGAACCCGAGCTGAGCTTGTGTGCTTGCTCGTGTTTAGCTCGTTTACACCACATGATAAAGTAACTTCCATTGTATGTCATATTCTTAACTTGCTATGTATTGGCATTCATATGTATTGGTATTCATGATATTGGCATTCATGATACAAACATAATTGTAACTACATTCGAGTAGCTTCGATAACATACAATGCAATTAAGTTCATGCAGCCCTGGATCCCTCACCAATGACATCGTAATACGTTTCCAATTCTCTACCGTCCGATCTCACACATCACTATCAATAATCAACGGGCGGCCTTTTGCCAGCTTATTGATCCGCGCCCCTCCTTTTCCTCCAATAATATTCCGTTTCCTCTCCTTCTCATAAACCAGAAACCTCCCCTCATCTCACATCTGAACAATGGCGCCAAAGGGCGAGAAGAAACCCGCTGCAGAGAAGCCCGCCGTCGAAGAGAAGCCGGCGGAGAAGAAACCTAAGGCGGAGAAGCGGCTGCCGGCGAAGGACTCCGCAGGCGAAAAGAATAAAAAGAAGAGGAGCAAGAAGAGCTCGGAAACCTATAAGATCTACATCTTCAAGGTCCTGAAGCAGGTTCATCCCGACATCGGGATCTCCAGCAAGGCGATGAGCATCATGAATTCGTTCATCAATGATATCTTCGAGAAGCTTGCTAATGAATCATCTCGCCTCGCCCGTTACAACAAGAAGCCGACGATCACCTCCCGCGAGATTCAGACGTCTGTGCGGCTGGCGCTTCCCGGGGAGCTCGCCAAGCATGCTGTGTCTGAGGGTACGAAAGCTGTTACTAAATTTACGAGTTCTTAGGGGGTAGTTGAGGAATCATTGGTCCAGGGCTGTGTGTTGATTTAGCAGAATTTGTTAGGGTTTTGCTTATTGTTATATGATACTGGTTTTCATCTTTATATTCAGCTATAATGCAGTTCTAATTTCATGTTTAATAATAATTACAAAGCATAATTTTTTAAATTGTTATACTGTGATGTGTTGTGAAGTTGGGGATTTAAATGAAAATCCATCCACATCTACATACATACATAGATAGATATAGATATAAGTCTCCTCTGGTTTGGGGTTCGGTTTCCCTCCAGTGTAGGGCGTTGTACTTTAATTTTTAGGTGGGTTATCTTCGTCAGCGTGATTTGGACTTTTGATTTGAGAGGTCTTATGCCACAATGTGTGTGTGTGTAAAGAAATGGCTAGGAGCAATTAAATAAGACTTAATGTGCTTAATAATTCGAGGACAAACCCATGCATCGAGAGTAAGAGAGATTATTTCATTAGGATATTGAATGTAAATTTGTGTTTGGAGTCCAGTGAGCACTTGTCACGTGTCAAATGTGTCTCACTGTAATATAATGGTTGGGCAGGTTTTTCAGAAGAGTGGGGCGCACTTGCCTGTGACACATGCTCACTTGACTTTGAAGCTTGACGTAAATTTTGTGTCTGGTATCTTAATGAAATAATTTTTTGGATCCTATGGGACGTACAATTGATATCGTAAATGCTAGCCAACAAGCCAAGATAGTTATACTTATGCATGAAAAAGGTATTTTGTTTTTAAATAGTGATAATGGTGTTATTTTTTATATAATGGTAATGATTTATGTGCAATGTGTTTAAATATTAAAGTTTTTGTGTATGATATAAAATACATAAGAATTATGTATTATGTTTGTAAATTGTTTTTTTTTTTGTCATGTCATTATGTATTTTCAGTATTTTTCAATTATTAATATATTAAGTCCCTTTCTTGGCTTAAGTCAAGTCTAAATCATATATTGAGAACATAATATTTTCTCTATTTATCTTTAAAAATATACATATATTAAGCAAAAAAATAAATAATTTAGCAGCTAGCTATGAATGAATTCCACGCCCTCTTTCAAGTCATTGTTACAATGCCCAATTTATCAATTATGGTAGAAAGATAAAATATAATTAGTGTGATAAATCTGCATAAATAAGCAATTTTTATTTATTTATAACTTAGAACTTTTGTGTTTACATAACACTTTAATTTTTAACATAATATCAAATATCTCATTATTATTTATTTTTAAATTTAAAATATACTCTTTCATTTAAATACTTATTACACCAAAATTATAAATATAGATTTAAAAATTTAGGTCTTAGATATATAAATACATAAAAAATGTATGGTTTGTATGTGAGTATTATATTACATTAATCTAAACTAAATCTCATGATTATAAAAACATTTCAACACATACACCAAGACAAATAATAATAAAATAAATCACAACATCTAAGACTTAAACTATGAAACAAAAGTCATTGACTTGAAACTTTAAACACACTCATATTCATAATTGTCATCATTCATATAACCTACAACACTTCTAAAAGTCTGCAAAAATAGTCTCTAAACTATTTAAATGAGGACTTCCGTCCTAACGTCTGCACAGTTAACCATTGGCCGCAATATTGTCATACAACTCATCGGCAGATGATGCGATTGTCGGTGGTTAAGACGTGCGGATGAAATTTTTTTTCTTTAAATGTGATCATTTTAATCCTACAATTTATAAAAATATTAAATTGGTTCTCAAATTCTTTAAATGAGGGCTAAATTATACCTATAAATGACTATTAAAACCCTAATTAATCAAGTTCAGGATAAATTTAACACATCTATAAACTCTGAGACTATAACAATCCTACATAAATAGTCGAGATTTTTTTGCAATTTGCTCCATGTTAAAATAGAATAATTAAAAAATAAACAAATTGAAATTCACAGAGTTGTTCAATCTGGACAGGAAATTCCCTGCCAGCTTCTGCATTAAAAAAATAACATGAAAAATAAACAAGACCCACAGTTTTAATATAACTTATGATATAATAATTTCATGTCTTCAGCCATTGTCTACAAAGCATTTAAATAATCCTAAGCAGCATCTCATCCCTCAAATCTCCTCTCACCAACTCTAGAGCTTATAGATTAGACACTACCTAGAAATTTCTCCACTCCCATGAAAGTCTTCACTCACTCTTACATAGATATTTATATAATTATATATTTATATATTTATATATTTATGTGTAAAACACAACCAAGATGCAAATAAGCTTTTGTTGCTTCCCCTAACTTAGTAGCTTCTGAGTTTCATCCCAAACAAAGTAGGCACAGCCGGCACGCCTCGACGCCGTCCAGTTTCCACAGCCGAAGAACCACCTTCCCTGCATGGGCCCCGGCTTCCTAACCACACACTTACTGCTCTTTACGCCGCAGAAACAGTAGATGGCTGGATCCATAATGGGTGGTTCGATGGAGGGCTGAAACTGGAGGCCTTGACCTGCTGCTACTTTCTCTTTTGGCTTTGGGAGCTGGGTGGCGGCCGGATCAGTCCGACGAGGTTCAGGAAGTTCGGTAAAATGCTGACACATTGAGCTGGTGATGGAGAAGCGGAAGCCTCGACGCATGAGAAGGGAAAGGAGACGGGCGGTGTTTCGAGCGTCGTCGAGGCCGCAGTGAGCACGACCCTCCCAAGCCAGGCCGGCGAGCTCAACTGCCTCCTTTAAATTGCAGTGCATGCTTCCGAAGACCTCGTGAAATGGTACCTTTAAATTGATCCACCTGATCATATTGTTAAAAGGTAAGAATAGAATCATTTTGATCTGACCTCAATGAGAAAATGTTGAAGTTCTTGTCAGACATTTTACATGCATGTCACATGATTCTTATGTATTTACATTTCTAAGGGTCTAAACTTTTATAGTTACATGTATAAGACTTCGTTGCTTTAAAGCTATGCACGAAAGATGTACTCGACTTTTAAAAAGTGAAAATGGTGCTATTTTTAATGTTTTAATGTGATGTTAAGGATTTGAGCGGTATGTGCGCAAATATGAAAGTTCGGGTGTGATGTGTAAATGCATAAGAATTTTGTGCTTTGTATGTAAAATGGCCAAAAAACTTCAAAGGAGACAATGAACTATATGGTGTAAGACATGGTTTAGAAAGCTAGACAAATATTAGAACTTAATGCGCAATAAATTGGGACTTTGATTAATCGAGATGAGTACATGAATCATTGAGTTCAGATGATATCGCATCCAAAATTCTCGAATCTTCGTGCCAATTGAAGAATTACTTACCAAATTCCTATAAATAAAATGTATTTGTTCAAATAAGATGTCAACGGTTGATGTTGCAGGGAGATTTACAGATATCAAATATCACATGTTTCTGGGAGCAAAATGAAAAAGCATATTGAAACAGATTAAAAGGTGAAATACATTAAGAAAAGCAGAAAACATATTTCCATACTCTTAGAGTAATAATTTTCTAATTCTAATATTTGTATTAGCGAGATGAGAGCATGAAACAGAACATAAAGCGTTCTTAAAGAATTGAACAGGGACAAATTATTACAAATAAAGGGGCATTTACATACATTCCACCCAATTCTATCTAACCTAAACTTTACTTGTTTACATTTATACTACCCAAGTCTATCATAGGATATAAAAATTGAACTATTTTAAATTTTAAAAGGTGAAATGCACATTTTCATGCATGAATAAGGTGGCTATGTAAATACATAAGAATTGAGTGGTATGTATGTAAATCTTGCTTAAGAAACATACGCATCCATACTTGTTAAAATACGGAGGTTTCCGAATCCCCTTGAATTGGCACTCAGATTCAAGCATCACACGACAATCCCAGTTAGACCATGTCACCACGGCGAAGTTTTTTTGTTTAATTCCGTTGTCTTCTAACCATTTGTCATGCAAAAGCAGAGCTTCACTGAGAGAAACGCCAGCATCAACCTAGAAAGAAATGTAAATAAATATCAAAACAGAACCTATTAATAAGCACCAAAAATAGACAGTTTTAAAAATCTTTCATGTGTAAGCCCAAAAAATCTAGTAAAAAAAAAAACCTAAATATAGCCAAAGATCAAAAACTACAAACTTATGGAACCAAATATCTTTCTTAATCACTGCAGTGATGTATCTTTGACTGTGGGTTAGTCATAGGGAAACGAACCAGGATTTGGTCAAATCCGAACAGAAACAAATCACACATTGCATTCATGCATAAATCATATTTATACATAAATAATTAAATATTTATTCTTTCCACATATGACCAGCCTGAGGGTGTTCAATAGTGTGGAAAAAAGAAAACCGTGCAACATGATGGACTGTAAGAAGTTATAACTCATACTCATATCAGATATAGTGTATTGAGAAGATGCAAACATTATATTCATTAACCAATAAAACTGTCATAAAAACCAAATCATAATGATTAAATTACAAAAATTCAGCATTGTGATTAAATACATAACTATAATTACTGGTTATGAATGAATAACTAGTGAACAAAACCAAAAGCAAGCAAGACGACGGTTATTGCTGTCTTTTGGCTCAATGACATAAAACAACAACAAGCTTTTATCCTACTAAAGTGGAGTCGGCTCCTTGAATTCTTTTTCTCCATTGTGTCCTATTGAGTGTCATATTTTCATTTAATTCTAATAAATTAATATCATTTTTTATAAAATATATATGCCCAATTTTTAGGTCGACGTCTGTCTTTCTTAACATAAGTAGAATGTAAAACATCTACTCTCATGACCAAATCATCAAATGGTCGACGTTTAATGTGACCATACCATCTAAGACGACTTTATCTAATCTTATTTGCCACTGGAGCTACACCAACCCTTTCACGGATATATTTGTTTCGCCTTTTGTCTCTAAGTTCAAGCTACTCATCCACCTAAACATTCTCATTTGAGCACCACTTAACTCTGTTTTATGTTTCCTTTTGGCTCAATGACATAATCAACGTAAAATAAATTTAAATATTTTAATTCAAAATTCAAGAAAATAGGATATAGACGGTTAGAAAAAGTTGTATGAGGATATTCTGGTAGATAATGTATCTAGATAGGAAGTGATGTCTCAAATATGAAGGCATTTAGAATGAACAATAAAATTCTTAAATTTAACCTAGTTAAAAAAAGGAAGATTTGCACGGATACCACACAAAGCCTATGTATTTACATATCTAACACCTAAACTTTGATTTTTACACTTATACCAATTTATCTACACTTAAAAAAGCTGCATTTCACTTTTTAAAGTTAGTAATAGTGGTATTTTTTATCTGATATGAATCATTTGAGTGTTATATATGTAAAACTCAAAGTTAGGTGTTAGAAGTGTATATAAATAGGAATTGTGTGGTATGTATGTAAATGCCCCAAAAATTAATGGTTCTTTTGTCATTTGTTTTTATTTAAACTTGTCTAATTTTAAACAAACGTATTTCTACTTTGATACATTTTATTTTATTCTATTTTATTATTTTTTAAGGAATGGGTCCAGGCGTGAGGTCCTCAACCCACCCTATTGGCTCAAACCCCATCACGTCTAGTGGCGACCCATGTGCCCCAAATATTTGAATATATTTTATGTATATCCCCACTTAGTGGGATAAAGGTTTTTGCGTTTGTTGTTGTTGTTGTTGTTGGTGTGTGTGTGTGTGTGTGTGTGTGTGTGTGTGTCTATATATATATATATATATATATATATATTTTGAATTTATTTATTGATAGATATTGGTTGTACCATACATGGCATATAACATCCTAAATTAAAAACAAAAATGTTAAACATTGTATGTTCTTTAGAAGTACTATGCATAATATAGAGAACTAAAGCTAAACTTTAGAAACTGCAATTAAAGTAACTATAGTGTATGGATTAAAGTGCTCTCAATAAGTTAATGATAACTAAGTAGAGTTGACAAAACTGAAAAACGTTAACAATATATTAGGGCAAGGAATGATAGAGCTTATATAATGAGCGCCAAAACCAAATGAAACCAACCTAACATCTTTTTAATTTTTAGTTAATGAAAAAAAAAAAAAGAAAAGAAATAAATTTGTTATTCTGTTTTCACTAACAGTTGATAGTCAGGTTAACTAAATAAACTGAACAAATGAATAACCATCAAGGTCCAAGCACGTCAAAGAAGCTAATGGATCTGAGATTGCCAAATATCATAATAAACAAAGACGTTAAAACAAAATGTAACAAATAACATAAGGATAGTCATTAAAACCCTTCACTTAATTAAATTTAATATTATGCAATTAGAATTTTAAATACATTAACAAAAATTCATCCATAGCAGAATATGATAGACTAATGAAGCATTGCAAAGTGATGTCTTAATAAATAATCATTTTGTTAGGGCCAAACCAGGAGACATCATAATTGTCATATTTTTCCATGGTAAATGTTTATAGCGGGCTTAAGCGGACAAGACTTTAACATGATAAATTTATATTAACACAAATTACTAATACAATTAATTTATATTGGGTTCCATTCATCCAGAAAAAAAAATTTAACAAATAAATAAACTTACTAAAATGGCTAGAACTTAATTCATGCAGCTGCCCAGCTCAATTATCATCAGCTGAAATAATAATTTTTTTCTTAAATAGGCGCAAGTGGTAGCAAGCATGGGCAACCACAAATGATCCACAATCATTATGCAACAATTTAGCTACTCATGGAATATATTCCTTTGAGTACCATACAACAACAAAGTTGTACACTAACTATTTTCGCACTAACTTTGTCAAAATAAATGTCCTATAATGGCAGGTGGCTCAAAATGCTTACAAAAATGTGATCCGGAGGCATCCATAGACATTCACAAATCGCAACATTTTGTTCTCGTGTAATTTGCGAGGAAATGAGGCTAGAGGCATAGGCTACCAATAGCTAGAAAAGAAGAGTTCATGAAAGTAGGAGAAGGGTAGATAAGAGAGGGGCTTGCTTCATAGAATAAATATGGTTTCCACCTTCTTAATCATCTTTCCCTCATTACTCTCTCAGTTTAATATTGTTCTCCAGCTTCTCCTCATCTAAGTGACATGATCTTTTTTTTTTTTGGGTCTACTTTTCCATTATTTTGAATGTTTTTCATTTCGCTTCAACATCTTATAAATCCTCAGCCCTTTGAAATGAATCAAGCATGTTTTATAAAACAGCAAACCTCTCCTCATATTCTTGCTAAAACACCAGGCTTTGTTCTCAATGCTCTAAAGGGAAAACACTATGGTTCAAGTCTCCACAAAATCTAGCATAGTCGCTTCTTTCATTTCAATGATTCTTCTTGTCCCATTTCACCGCAGCATTGACAATGTCATAATAAGCACAAACCTGTGTGGGATTTGAAACAGTATAGCTATATGTTCGAGTAATCGAAAAAGTGCAGAAATTGAGACATGCAACCCTCCTAAAATTCTTGTCCGGCAAGGTATATTTAATGTTATATAACATTTATCTTTTGTGTTTAAAGCTATATAAGATTTTGTGAAATTGATGTTCTTAGGCATAAGCTAAATAAAGACTAGATGAGGGAGATAGATCTTGAAGACTTTTGATTAAAAGGAAGACCAATTTAGGTCTAAAATACTCCCTTTCTTCTATATTGAAAGTAGCATAATGCATATTTTTCATGCTCTTCTTAATCCTAATGGCTTCGTGTTTTAGTTAAGTCAATACATAAACATGTATTACTGTTTTCAATCTTCCTAAAAATCCTTAGGTTTTGGCAAGTTAAAAACTTTCGAATAATTTCTTGCCTTTAATGCTCCATTATTTATGTGAAAGACTGCCAAGCAACTACTCATTGAATGACGTATATAACAATGAAATTAGTTATCAAACACTTATCCCCAAAAATGACCCTTTCATCATCTTCTTCTGCTCCTAGAACTTGTTCATCCCATCAACAATAAGGACCCTTTCTACCAACAATCATCCCTCATTTAATGGCTCAAATGATCCAAGCAACTCGGGCAATAAAGAAAACTTTGATGCGAGTTGAGAAGTCCATCAATTAAAACCATAAGGATTATTTGTGTTACAGGTCCAAAATGAGAGCATTGATTTTAATCCAAAAAAAAAATAATTTTAAATTAAGAAAAAACAATAAAATTGACATGGAGGATAAGGAAGTACAGTTTATTTGTGTGCAATTATAAGTGATTCTAAATAGTTGGGCATCCTTGTCAAAGTTATATTTAACTAAGAAGTTATATTTTATGATAGACAATTATATATGATCCTAAATTCATTTGAAAACATTAAAAAATAACCACTAAAATGTTTCTAGAAGCATTATTCGGAGTAATGCATTATGGTGTGATATAGATAAAGAAGATATTTTTTTTGTGTTGCTAGAATACCTTTTAACTTGTGATTGTTGAGCTTCCAATCATTTTCATTGTTGGACTTCCAATCAATCAATAGTGATGCAACACCAATACATGTACTCAGACCTGTGACCAAATCTCAAACTAAAACACTGCATCAAGATGGAAAATATCAATATCATCATCATAAAAAAAAAAAAAACATCATGAAGAATGGAAGATACCTAGAATGGAAGATACCTTTCTTAATCCAAGACCACTCCACTTTCCATTCAAATCTCAGTTGCCCTACTAATTTGGCATTTACTTTTCTTAATCCAAAACCACTCCACTTTCCAATCAAGTCTTGGTCAACCCACACCTCTAATTAGATAATTTTTCATATTTAATGCCAGAATTTTTTTATGATTAGCGCCCCGCCCGCCTACCCCCCGATGCTTTCAATTCTTTCTTCCAAAATTTTAATCCTCTAGTCTAGCCACCACCTCGAATACATCCAACATATAAAACAAGTTCCCTACAACACCCAAAAGCCCTTTCCTTCCGTAGTTACCAATCCATCCAATCCTAGCTCGCAAGCAT